ACTGCAATGGAGTATCAGCCTAGACTTTGAATGTCCTGTCCCTATGTGGGGCTTGAACCCACAATCTTCTGACTCCGAGGCAAGGGTGCATGCTACCAACTGAGCCAGGCTGTTGTCTAGTACTTGTGAGGTTGGAGAAAACTCACCCAATGGCTCGGCTGCAGGTTTCCTCCGATGTGGAGTCCTGTAGCTCAGTGGTTAGAGCACTCGCCTTGCAAGCGAGACACCTGGGTTCATTTCCAGGCAGAGCAAAACCTTGGGCAAGTTTCCTTACTCCACACACCTAATAATAATCCCTCCAAAATAAAACAATAATAAATTGGTCATTTTCAATCCACAACTGTTTGTGGGACACTGCTGTGCGCAATTGACTGCCGCAATTCACTTTACAGTCTATTCTGTGAAGCGCTTTGAGACGTTGAGAAGACGTGAAAAGCGCTATATGAAATGCAAGGATTATTATATTATTATTAATGCTGTCTGAGTGGCTGACGTGTTGGCTTCCAGCCTGTGGGTTTTACGGAAGGGAAAGTGACAAATATTGAATAACATTTTTTTTAAATGAAAGAAATCACTGCAGGACCCGGTCATTTCCAATCGCAACAGACTGACATTGCGTTCAACTCCCATCTGTTTGCGTTTCATATTACAGGGTGTGTTTCCCGGGGTAACATTGAGCACGGCTCTGTACCACCGGGGCACTGAGTTTGGTGATTGTGTCCTCCAGTCTCTCGGGATTTCTTTCTTATCCACCGTGAAAGCTGTCAGGATCGCTTTCCTTTTTATGTTATGGCGGTAATCCCCATTATCGGGTGCAGTGATAATGCAATACTTATGAGATTCAAGCAGCGGAATCCTCTTTCTCCAGACTGAGCCAGCCACTAATACGTGCCACCGTTGCTCTATTTGTAAAAGCACTTGCTAATCTCTCACATGCTCCTTCACAGAAATGCATGCAAGGTTTCTTTTCCTAAGCTTTTTCCTTGTTCTTCCTCCTGCCTTGCCGTGACCCAAGCCTTTTATTTGGATTGCTACATGTGTCGTGAAGCTGTCTGCTTCTCACCAAAGTGGTACGTTCTTCATGCGTGAGCCTGGACAAGGAGCACCAATTGGCTCTTTGCCCAGGATGGGCGATGAGGAGATTACGGGGCGCCCGAAATGGATCGTTTCCTCACCAAACGTACAAAATGTCCAGAGGACCATCAGAGTCGGTGTGTTCAAGTCTGAGCGCAAACTAATTTCAGTGAAGAGCGTGAATCAAACCTGGAATATTCACGGTCTGTACAGTGCAGCACTGGCTTCAAGGAATTTTTCATAGAATGCTACAACTTTTGGCCAAAAACAACCATGAACCAACCTACTTTATAAGAGATGCTACAAGAGTGTTTGTTCCTTGTTGCATTTTGGAGAGGTGACTCAGATTGACACTTGTGAATGGAAACAATTAATTCCCAACCGCAGTTGTGCTTGGTTAATGGCAGCTTTGTGTGGAAGGTATATGCCTCGCCATGTTTCTGCTTTTTAGGTGACTTTTAATCATGAGATTTGCTTCACGCTGAGCATTAATCTCTGATGTAGTCAGTGTTAGCAATCGTTGCCAGAATCAGCTTGTAGAGTCTTGACAACAATACTCTGTCATATTTGTCCTGTATAGTGCCTTAAATATAAAAGAAATATCTTGAAAGCACTGGTCTGTCATCTCAATTCTGCTTTATTTTCCTGAATCTAAATGGGAAGTTAAACTCATTCTACTAGAATAAGTGGAATCGGCCCATTCCATAAATAATCGCTTGCCACCTTTTGCCTCTAAATTGTAGGTCAACGAAATTAGTAAGTCACCGTCATTCCTTCAATTCTGTTCTCTCCAAATATATATTAAAAAAGCACTTCTGAATGGGATTGAAAAAGTAAACCCAGAACAATACCTTAGGATGCATCAAGACAGTAGAACAAGAAGACATGGCTTTAGAGTTGCAGAGGGCAATATCAGGCAGACACTCAGGAACTTTTCGTTACTCAACGGGTGTTTAATGACTCGAACAGGTTGCCAGGACTCATTTAAAAAGCAGCTGGAAGCTGCGAGGGGGGGAAGGTTGGATGAGTATTCTGGAGGATAAGATCAGATGGGTCGAAGAGCCTTCCTCATCCAAGCTGATCTTGTGATCTTATTGAAATAGTTCGTGAGAGGGGCCTTCCTGGTTTGCATGGATCATGATCACACCTGGTTATGAATGTCAGTATTCTTTCAATGCACAGTATCTGTAGCCACAGCAGAAATGTCTGGGTGTGAAGACCTCTGAGACTGTCAACTGCCAGATACAGTTACTGGAATTAACCTTTTAGACTTGGCGTCACAAAAGACACTTAATACTGTTAAATTTCTGAAAATGTGTTTCTCATTCACTTGAGGCTTCTTCTGTGCTCTGAAACCGTTCCCACGGTTGCCCTTGCCCCAGGGGATAAAGCAGACATCTTTACCTGTAAATATACTCGATGTCTAAAGGCATGAAACTGAACTCTCTGGACTCTCTTTCTGTCCAGCTCCACCCTGTTCGAGACACTATACTTGAGCTCAACCCCCCTCTGAGCAGTCTAGGTATCTTTTCCATTGTTGGCTTCAAATAGGGAAATGCACTTTGCGAATAAAACTCAATTGGATTGTTGGTTTATTTGTTTAAAACTTGCACTTTGTCTCAGGGCAGTGCTTGTCAAAATGAAATCCATGAATTATCTTATCAGTGAAGGACAAAAGAATAGGTACAAAAGAATCTGAATATCTTATCCTGTAGATTTTTGTTAAAAAAATCAATGTACTGTCCTTTAGCACAGAGGATCTATTCTCCTATATCATACCATGTACCTGTTATCTACTCGTGGATATTGTTTAGTATCTAGGTTGTTATGTAAGCGAGATTAACGTAGAATGAAATGGGTTTTCTTTCGTTCGGCAGCAGAAAGACTCAGTTCATTCTATGGGGGTGGGGGGGGGTGAAGAGGTAATTATGAAGTGGAAATTAAGAAGGTCATAAAAACATAATAACTAACCGAGACTGGCCAGATTTCATCTAGTTGTTGATTCCCTTGATATAAGTGGAGGAAGAGCAGGGAGGAAAATGAATGAATGACTTGCTGTCCACACAGAAATTTAGCCGTATCTTGATTATTAATCCTTGCATTTGATATAGCAGCTGCCATGTTGGGAGGAGGTCTCAAAGCGCTTCACAGGATTTACTGTAATGTGTAGTGACCGTATACTGTAATAGGTGTTTTGTTGGTGACCGCAGAGGCTAATTTGCAGACAATAATATCCCACAAACAGTCATGGTGTGAATTGTTCCTGGCAGGATTGTTGGCCAGGATGCAGGAGAAATTCCTGTCTCTTTTTGATTAGTGATATGGGATCTTTAATGTCCACCTGAATAGGCAAGCGGGTTCTTGGTTTAGCATCTCAACTGGAAGACGACACCTCATTTCCCCAGCACAGCCCTGGAGTGTCAGCATTTGATCTAGCGCTTTTCATGTCTTCTCGACGTCTCAAAGGGCTTCATAGAATGTACCGTAAAGTGAATTGACTGTATATTTTGTGGGTGAAACACGGCAGCCAATCGCGCACAGCAGTGTCCCGCAAACAGTCGTTGATTGAGTGCCCAAATGATTATTTTTTTTCTTGAGGGATTATTATCAGGCGTGTGGAGTAAGGAAACTTGCCCAAGGTTTCACGCTGCCGGGAATCGAACCCAGGTGTCTCGCTTGCAAGGCGAGTGCTCTAACCACTGAGCTACAGGACTCCACAATAATAAATAATTTGGGAGAATGAAATTGTTCCTGATTTTGTGTAGTGACTTCACTGGGCACTGAATGGTAAAATTCCATTACCAGCCAAATTATCATCATAGTTGCCAGAGGAATTTCTCACCCACAGTGTGTAAACATAGGTTCACAAGAATAAAGCCTCCCAACGGATATTTTTTTTGGGGGTTGGGAAGGGGATGACGACTTTATCCCGAAATGTTTTCTGCACTTTTTTTAATTAATGGTTGGCATTTGTGAACAATTTACAAAATTGTTTAAGCCAGAGGTTCAGTTTAACTGTCGGGTTATGTTCCCGTCAAGGAACATGAAAACATTAATGCCAATTGATTTTTGAAAGATCTCTGTGGACTTCTCAATTAGCACATCAGTTCTACAAATGATGAGCTATTTACTGTCGAGGGTTTGTGTGTCTGTTTGGATCCTGTGCAGAAAGACTGAGCGCCTTTTCCAGACGATTAAATGCCTGAAATGTATTTAATGGGAAGAGAGTTTCTCCTGGTGTCCTGGCCAAAATCCCCCAAATAAAATTGGTCACTCCATGGCTGGTTGTGGCATGTTGCTGTGTTCAAATTGGCTACCTCGTTTGCCTGTAACATTCACAGTCACTTCCACTTTACAGTGTACCTTGTGAAGAACTTTGAGATGTCGTCCTGGCTGTATCAAAAGCAACAACAACAACTTGCACTTATATTTGCAACAACTTGCACTTTTAAATGCAAGGATTATTATTATAACAATCTCCCCCCCCCCCCCCCCACCAATATAACAACAACAACCACTTGGATTTATATAGCGCCCTCTACGCCAGACGGCATTTCAGAGCACTTCACAGTAATGTGTGCGTATGCAGGTAACTGCACATTGAAAACCGATCCTGATGTATCTGAACTTGTTCCAAATGTGACGAGACTCTATTGCCAGATTAATGCCTTAATCAGTGTTTTAAATTCAAGTTACAAGACAAATGACTTGTTAATGGATTTATTGTCCTGGAGCCAGGACCTGAAGGTTTAGGAATCTATGCTTTGGGTCAATAGAGAACTGCCATCATTTGTTTTAGCCCAGTCGACGATCCAAAGATATTAATGTTGCGACCCATTTTCTGCGATGGGTGATCGATACCATTGTTTGCACATGTCTTAAGTAAAGGTCATTGTTCAGCGGAATGTGTGTTGATATTTTCCCAGAGCACTCAAACTACTTCGGAGTGGATGAAAACCTGGGTCCAGTGGCAGTGAGCATTCGACGGGAAAAGCTGGAGGATAGTAAAGAGCACGGACCCCAGTACAACTACAGAGTCATCCTCAGGACCAGTGAGGTTAGGACACTTGATTTACTAATGAATTTGTCTGAAATGTGTGGACAGACACTTAATAGTGCAACAGCTACAACTTGCATTTATATAGCACCTTTCACCCAGGATGGCATCTTGGATCAGTTAGAGTGCTTAGTATTAATCTTAAGGAAATGCTTTACAAATTTATATTAATAAAACACGTTACACCACTTTGGGAGGAAATTCCAAGATTCTGGACAACTTAAGGTTTGCACTTGAGCTGGCGATAATTGATAATAATTTATAAAACATAATAACATGATTTGAAAAATCCACAACTATTTGAGGGTATGATCTTTGTGCTCACTGGGATCTCTGCTATCGCTCTGTCTTTTTTGTACAAACGATAAGATAAATTGTGTATTGAATTCTTGCCCACAGAGGTGATGTTAAGATTCATTTCATTTTCCTGATTTAAGAGCACAGCCCATTGTCATCTGTACCCACCCTTTTTCTCCCACACCCTCCTGTGAACATACCTCAAACTGAGCTGCCACAGTGCAGCTAAGAGGAGCTTCTGCACCCCATGGCTGCCTTTGAAGCTGCAATCTTCGAGCAAAAGGCTGGATAAGTCACAACAGGATAATCAGTTTGTTCCTTAACATGTAATGATGATATTTACCCTGTTTGCTGTGAGCACCAGGTGTCATTGCAGAGCAGAACAATGCTCCATTTCCCTATTTTGTACACAGTAAGTCTTTCCACCCCCCCCCCCCACCCACCTTTGATTAGATTGCCCACGCTATTTTGAAAACCTCATACATTTCATCCCCTCTCCTTTCATCTCTCTCTCCAGTGAAAAAACATTGCAACAGGGTTCCTACCACTGGTCCCAAACCCCCCCCGACTGTTCCCCAACACCAATGTCATGTACAGATTTAGCTATTACCTCCTTGTTCTTGTATTCACTGACCTTGTACATAAAAGTTATACAACAACTTACATTTAAATAATGTGTGTGTGTGTGTGTGTCTCTCACTCCGTCAACCTAAATTATAATGATCTAGGTTTTGTTACCAAATCTCTCTTTTGTCCCTGTAGGATTCAGTCTAGTGTTACTACATTGATGTAAGAGTTTATGGTTCAAGTAGTTTCTTGTGCTGAGTTGAAATCCCATGTTATATTTCCAGCTGACTACTTTACGAGGTTCTGTGTTGGAAGATGCAGTTCCATCGACAGCGAAGCACGGCACAGCCAGAGGGATCCCAATGAAGGAAGTACTTGAATTCATCATACCAGAGCTCAGTATTCATTGCCTTAGACTGGGCCTGAACACCCCTAAAGTCACCGATCAGCTTATGAAACTGGACGAACAAGGGGTGAGTGTTGTTCCATCGTGTAACTTTCTTTGTTACAGTAGTCTTTAATTTTGTGACTGGGTGGGTGGAGGGGCCTAATCTGATAGAATGCTTGTACCTGACCAGGGAGCCGGCTAAATGTACTGATATATAGATTGAGGGCATTGCTGCCTTGTGGGCGCTTGACTTTCAGTCTCGAGGTGAATCTTCATCCCACCTCCAGAGGCAATCGCACCCAAGACAGCGCTTTCCGATTTCTCTGGGCACTGATTCCCGAGCAATGCAAAACCTTAGGCAAGTTTCCTTACTCCACACGCCTCTGTTTACCTAGCAGTAAGTAGGAACTCAGTTGTTCAGCGATTGGCGGATCGCTTTCCAGGGGTAATAATTCCATCAAAATAAAATAAAATAAAGAAATTTGGTCACTCAATCCATGACTGTTTGCAGGACACGACTGTGCACAATTGGTTGCCACGTTTCGCCCACAAAAATACTCAGTAAATCCACTTTACAATATATTCGGTGAAGTGCTTTGACACATCTCAACAATGCGATAAGGCACTGTATCAAATGTAAGGATTATTATTATTGTTATTATTTGAAACCCAGCTTCTGAGAAACTGAAAGTAATTGTTTTTCTACTTTGCACAGAATGCAACCAAACAATCTCCATGGTCTAAGTTTCCTAACTAAAATGACAGTGATAGGAAAATGCTGCCAATGAGAATTATCTGGGAGTTCCTTTCCCCTTGGGAGACCTTTTATAATGCAAATCCTTGTGGACTGACATTGCCTTTTGGTGTGATGGAACAATACACTGTGGTGTTATCTGTTTGTGATTGACGCTCTTGTGTAATGTTTGCATTGGTTGCATGATTAGACATGAAGCTATGACCGAGCTCTAACTACCTGGAGGCAAGCAGCTTAGTGGAACACAACAATGCTACCTAAATAGTCTCTTTGATATAAAAGGCATGTGGTTGCCTACTTCACTGGTACGTTTTACCTCTCTCTCCAGTAAACCATTCACTCCATCAACCATCATTCATTCGTTCTTTCATTCTCAACTGCAACTTTAAAATTGTCACAAAAGAGGGTTAAAATGTATCAATGGATAAATAACTGCCCAAAAATACTTTGAGTTTGTGGTTTCAAGATAATACTACTTCTGTTGCCTTATCCTTGAGTTCTCATTTGATTTTTTTTAAAAAAATGAATTTATAAGAAATGCTCCAATTTGTTTTAATTGAAAAAAAATTTCCCCCATGAAGTCTTCTCCAGTTGAAGCCACATTCTTCCCTTCTTGTCCGGGGTTGCTGCTGAAATGAGAAATTTCAAGTTGTCTCATCTGTTGAGTGGAAAGAAAATTTTGGTCACTCAATCCATGGCTGTTTGTGGGGCACTGTTGTGTGCAATTAGCTGCTGTGTTTCTCCCACAAAATACGGGCAATTCACTTTACAATATATTCTGCGAAGCCCTTTGAGACATCTCAACAATGTGATAAGGTGTTATATCAAACCAAGGATTATTACTATTATTATTAGCTGGCAACATACTCTCCACCCAGGCTATCTTGTTGAAAGTAACAAGCATCTTAAGGATCGGGGGTGCTGAATTATAAAAGATGGTGAATCTAAATATCTACTAAATGGTTTTGGTGAAAATAATGCTGAAAGGGGAACAGAGACAACAGTATTGTGTAGCATTCTGCAAACGTGGGATCAAACAGATGTGCCATAAGGGTCTCTCCTAGTGCTGTCATTCTTGAATGTGAGTCCAACCAGTGAGTCTCGGTGGACTGTTGTACTCTGGCATGTGACTCATTATATTCTGATCCAGAGCCATATCAGCGACTCACTGGACAGTGATTGTGGGTATTGGTGAGTGTGGGCATTGGTCCTATTTGACCTTTCCTAGCCTACAGAAAGGGGAGTGGGGGAAGCTGTGGATAATTGAGGTGCGCTGGCTGAGTTCAGCAATCTCAACATAGACCATAATGTAGTGGTGAGTCGAGTTCAGGCAAAATTGTACCAAGAGAGTTTGGTGACCCTGAACTACCTGCAAGAGAAGCCATTTGCTTGAGAAACCAGCCCTGCCTGTGATAATGCTGAGATTGGGTGGTCAAAGTGGACGGACATAATCTTCCACTTCCCGGCACTGACGTTGAATAAAGCAACTGCACCGATTACCATCGCACTTAATATTCCAAGGCTTTATTAGACATCACACGAGAGAGAGACCAACAGGGCTGATTTACACAGAACTAGTTTCCTTTCTGAGGACGTACTCAGTGAAGCTCTTAAGTATCATCACTCGTGCGTTATTGAGCAGATGCCATGTCTTGTGATCGCCTAGCATGAGATCTCCATACTTTCTCGATGATGTATCCAAAGAAATCTGAGTGCTCTTGAGGTCAAATCCCCCGAGCAGATAAACCAGGCTGATCTACTTGCATGGTCCATAAAGGATGAAGTGCTGTGGATGAGCACACTGATGCATTCTGCTTTTTTTCATAACCGAATGAAAATAGACTCACTTTTGGGAGTCGGGTAGTTTCTGCTGTTATGAATAAAATTTTACATGATCCTGTCAGTTTACATAGTTGTGACTTTATACTTGGAGGAATTTTTTTTGATGTGTTCTGTTCTGATGTTCTGTTTCGGGCTCATGAGCAGTGTCCTGTTTGTGGCACTGGATTAAACAAAGAGTTTCATCCAAACTGTTGCTGTGTACAGATGTCCGCAGCACCCTGCAGACATGGCAGTGGTTGTTGATTCAAGATTGTGAGGGACTTGGGTGAGTTGTAGCAGTCCCTGCCTAAAGTCAGCACACACACAGTGCATGGACCGAACCTGGGATCTCCTTGGTTAAGGTTAGGGTCACCCTGCAATAATCAGGATTCAGCACCATAAGCCAAATGCAAGATTTCTACTAATTTTTTTTTAAACCTTGAAACATGGTTTATGTTCCAAGGTTGTCCTTGGGCTGAGGTGTGTGAAAACTTTTCATTTTTGTGAACTGAGCACAATACTCTCACAGTAAACAAACTATTATGATTGTCTGCTTAGGGTGTATTCAGTGACTGGAACAGGTTACCAGGAAAGGTGGTTGAGGCCAGGACACTGGAATCTTTTTTTTTAAAAAAACAATGATCTTGTGAAAATGGTGGGTGAAGGAGATGGGGGGATGGGTTCCAAGTCACTTGACACAGTTGCAGTCTTTGTATTTCAGATGAAATTATAACCCATTTATCTCTCTCTCACAGCTCAGTTTCCAGCACAAAGTGGGAGTGATGTATTGCAAAGCTGGACAGAGCACAGAGGAAGAGATGTACAACAATGAAGTGGCCGGGCATGCATTTGAGGAATTTCTCCAACTCCTAGGAGACAAAGTGCGCCTCAAGGGCTTTGACAAATATAGAGCCCAGCTTGATACCAGAAGTAAGTCTTATAGAAAGTGACCGGGAATTACCTGTTACCTGTGAAGACACCATATTTTGAACCCATGCTCCATTCTTCCTCTATGAAGGTAGTGTAGCTCTTATTCCCATTCGTCTATTGACCTGCATTGTTACACATGGTCTGTAGGGCTTGAAGGCTGAGGAGGTGTAGAATGGGTATCAATTGATAGTAATGGGTCTTAGAGAAAGTGTTCAATTTGGGTCTAACAGAATGGGTGAGATAGACTTTGACTTCTAGTCATTGCAAGGGCCAGATTTGGGACAAATGTTTTTGATCTAGTATGGACCTCATTTCGTTTTATCCCAGCGAATGGTTTATATTGCTGCAAGATTAAACCAATTTCCCACAAAACTCTTTCTCAATGTCTTTAATCCCACGTGTAGTCATTTGCCAAGCAGAACTTTGATCTGCCTCCACTGCTTCCACTTCGGATGTTTTTTTGGTCAGTCAGATGTCTGATAAATGTGGAATCCCAGTACTGTGCTTAAGAGTATCCACACCAGAATTATTGTTCCACATATGTATGCCATCTACACACAGAAATTCCTTTGTTTGGATTTGAATGTGCGCGTTGGCGTATTGCTTAATTACCTAAAAACCACATAGCTGGAAAGTCTAACATACTCTAGCTGGAGAGCAAGCTAGGGCCACCCTCCCTGTTGGGACTTTGGCTTCCAGGGTTAACAGGAGTTGAGTGGGGAGATTCCCTGCTCCCAGTGGTATATTAACCAAACTCTGTGGGCAAATTAGTTAAATCGAAAAAGGGTAACCATATTTGACAGCGCACACTTCAGCAAGTTTGTTGCATCTAGCCAGAATTCCCATGTACCAAATTGAAGGAGGTGACGGTGGGAACAGAGGAACAGAGTGTTCTGACTTTAATCTGTACGATTTAATGGCAAGTAAATCCTCAGCATCTAATGTCAGACAGCAGATTCCTGTCTGTGCTGAGTTGGATTTTGTTCTTGGTAACGATACCGATTCTGTGTTTTTTCAGCGGACTCGACTGGCACGCATTCTCTCTACACAACCTACAAAGATTACGAGATCATGTTTCACGTCTCCACCCTGCTTCCCTATACACCAAACAACAAGCAGCAGGTAGGTCAAGATCCCTTTAACACACTGATCCCTTACACTTAACCACAGATAGACCTTTCGTTTTCATATCAGGGTCTGTTATGCGCAGAATCCCACTGGGAATTAGGCGTTCAGTAAACCGTAGTGCAAACGCTATTGTAAGCAGAGCTCAGAGCTCTTTGCCTGGAGGTCATAGTGACTTGTTTTTTCTCATCTTCATTTTGGTGCCAGTCAGTCATAATCTGGTGAAATAAGACATACTGATTCCTGGATCCCCCTAGTGCCAAGTGTGTCCTGATATCCTGTCCTCCTTAGAGCAGGTTTCCAGTGTTTAAAGGGGGGATAGGGGATAGAAGCCTTGTGATCCTGCATTACAAAAAGATACAAGGCAGCAAAATTTCCAGTGGCCCGGAAAAAGACGCCTCTTTTAAGAGACATTTTTCAAAAGAACTGGTTTGAACGTTGGAATGAAATCAAGTGTGGACATTGTTCTGGCATTGATTCCTGTTACGCAACATATATACCTCTAGCGGCTACAGTGACTGGTTGAGAATGTATTGCATTGTCTGCCAGCGGTTCTTTCATATAAACCATGTAAATCTACTGACACAGAAGGAAATCAGCAACGTTGGCTGGTCTTGAATATTCCACTGTCAGTAAAACTCCTTTCCCTACATCACATCAGCCCTGTTTCTACAGAGCTCAGGAACTCCTATGCAACTACCAATGCTTAAGCACTCCCCCCACTCCCGATTTCATTGAGTAAAGCTGAGCCAATCATGGTTGTTTGGGTAATAATTCTTAATGATAATAATCTTTGTATTTGGTCCAGCACCTTTTTACATCGGGAGGACGTCCCAAACTACTTCAAGGGATTGACTGGAATAATAGGGAATTTTAACAAGACCAAGCAGCAATTAAATGAAAACGAATCTTTCATTTAGTCGGAGGCTTCTTCTTTCCAATGTTGTGCGAAAATACATGTGGCCTCTCTAATAAAATGTTTTTGTGGGATTATGAGCATTTATCATCCTTGAAACTAAACTCTGCGCCTGGCTGGGCCAGGTTTTGGGGATTAACTCTGGGCAGATTAGCTTGTTCAGTGGTCCTGTCTGAAAGATAACTTTTTCTGTTCACCTCCCCGCTCCACACACACCACACTTGTAAATTTTTAGGTATATCTGAGGCCCATGTTTGGACTCAGCATATTACCCGTGTTCGCTACTGCAATGCATTAAGACTAACAGCTTAGTTGTTACTATTCTTGCTGACGCAGTCATTCACAGCATCGTTTTCTCAGGCATCTGTTCACATTGAATAAATGGAAAAATTGACGAAGGCACAGATGTGACTGACCAGGTGATGGATGACAATATTGATTTGCCGTTCATGTCAAACATGTCATTTGTAAGCTCTCCTTTTCTCTTCCCCACCCACACCTCCCCTCCATAACAATGATACTTGTGAGGAAAAACATCACCTGTTACATTACCTGACACAGATCAAAAGGTTGTGAGTTTGCGTCCTGTTCTATGTGGTGTGTTACCTGTTCTCAGCCAGGCAGGGATTGGCTTTCGCACCTTAGTAGGTTATGTCTAATTTCCCTAGACTCACAGCTCGGGTGCAATCCCAAGATTTTTGTTTGCCTTGGAGCGTCCCCCAACATGAAAGGCGTTATATAAATGTAAACTTGTATTGTATCGTCTATCCTCCATTTACTGCACATGTGTATCCTGCATACACCACCCCTGTTATGCAATGAGCAATTCTGTTCTGTGGTCCCATGCTCACTTGGAGGGAGAGGGAGAATCTATACTTCTAGAGGCAGCAGAGAAAGGCACTTGCTCACTTTGGGCTAGATGTGAACTTGGGATCCCAATGTGAAAGGATATTGCAGAGCTCAGGGCATCATTCATCCCTTGTTGGGTTTCCATCTCAGTGCTGTTTTTTGTTTCTGCGTCAACATTTGGCCTGTCACAAGGTTATGCTTGAGAAGGGCATTGAGCAAAGTTAGATTGGACATGTCATATGCAAGTTGAAACTCATTCGACAAAGTGATAAGGACAATACAATTCTTGTTTGAGACAATTCAGCACAGGGTTTGCTTTGATTCTTGCACATCTCTGCGGTTCTTTCATTTAGTGGAGTGTTCCTAAATAATACCACAAAATAGAATTTGAAGTCTTGAGGCACCATGTAGTCTTAAATCATAAAAAGACAGACACTTATTTTGTGCCTTCTGTTCATTTCCACAGAATGACCTGCTGCACATCATAATCCAAGCTTGAGTACTGAGCTCATTTATTGATCAAACTCAATTTTTGACAAAATTCAATACTCTGACCCACACAGAAAGCCAAAGGCATTATTTCTTTTTTAGTTTACTGCTGGCTGTCCACTAGACATGAGAGTTACGTGACTTGTGATATGATTCCAATGTTTTCGAAGTGAAATATTCACAAATGTATCGAGGCAATGCAAGGGTATGCTTAGGGGACATTCATAATGTAGTTAAAAGTGAAGAGTAAGTGTTTGGGGAACAATCAATTTTACATTGAAAGAGCTTCACTTTCGTACTCCCTCCTCTCCCCCAGGCTGTCTAAAGACATGAAATCTCATACCAGTGGAGTCCTGTAGCTCAGTGGTTGAGCACTCGCTTTGCAAGCGAGAGACCTGAGTTCAATTCCAGGCAGGGCGAAACCTTGGGCAAGTTTCCTTACTCCACACGCCTAATAATAATCCCTCCAAAACCAAAAACAATAATAAATTGGTCATTTTCAATCCACGACTGTTTGTGGGACATTGCTGTGCGCAATTGGCTGCCGCGTTCGCCCACAAATATACAGTCAATTCACTTTACAGTGTGTTCTGTGAAGCGCTTTGGGACGTCCTCCCGACGTGAAAAGCGCTATATCAAATGCAAGGATTATTATTATTATTATTATTATACCAGATAGAAACTATTTTGATTGCTTTCCACTTTGCGATGGAGCTTTCCCTTTTGCAGCTGCTGTCTTTGGGTCTTGTCTCACAAACTGGCCATTCGTGGGACCTTGGCCGCGTGCGAATGTGTTCACCTCCAAAAAATAGTCGGCATGCTAGTAATAAGATGCTAGCAAATTAGTGTTTATAAATCCTGTTTTCTGAGATGGAATACCAATGAATCGGAAATTGCGAATTGCAAACCCGTCTTTTGTTTTCCGTCTTTGTTTGGACTTCAGCTTCTTCGGAAAAGGCACATCGGGAACGACATAGTGACCATCGTGTTCCAAGAGCCTGGCTCCCAGCCCTTCACCCCAAAGAACATCCGCTCCCATTTCCAGCACGTCTTTGTTGTTGTGAGAGCACACAGTCCTTGCACTGAGAACGTCTGTTACAGGTGAGTCAGACTATACTCACTGAGGCGAACGCAGCCTGCCTCGTTTAACCTATCCACAAGTTATTGCAAAGTAGCTTCATTCTATGTACGAAATCCTGGAGAAACACTAGCTCACAAAACACTATAACTACAGAGTTGACATAAATCGAGATAATCTGCCAAACGTCAGCTTTAATTCAGTAATGAATGAGTTCAGATTTGATCATTAACCCTTAAAATAGCAAGGTGAAGACTTCTCGGGGGCAGAGCATCACACCTGAGCTTAAAATACGCAGCCACAAATGACCATTCTGTAGCCGAAACGTGAATCTGGGTTGATCTGTCCTCCTTTCCTAGCCCAGGGTCATTGAGGCTACAATTTAATAAGAATAATAATAACAAGAATCATCCTTAGATTCAACACTGGAGCTGAGATTGTCAAACTAAGCACCGACCACAAATTGAACCTGGGATATTCCAAGTCTGTGGTGGCTCAGTTACAGAATCATTGGATGAAAGACGACTGTTCAGCTATAAAGTGGTGCCATTTGATATGCAGAATGAGCACTTGGCCCATTTAGAGGCCATCATTTCTAGGAAGCTTCACACACTGAGTGCTCTCTTCGGAAGCAGGGAAGATGTTAAGTACAGAACAGTGCAGTGTTCACAGCAAAACCACTGAGGTTTATAGTGGATTGAGAGTAAACAGCGCTCTGCTCTTGCCGTATTGGAATCCGCACTCGCAGTAAAAAGACCAACGCTTGTGTTGTACTTTCGTCCTAGTGTTGCTGTGGCAAGATCAAAAGACGTGCCTGCGTTTGGACCACCCATCCCGAAAGGGGTCACCTTCCCCAAGTCGACAGTCTTTAGGGACTTTTTACTGGCCAAGGTGATCAACGGCGAGAACGCAGCGCACAAGTCGGAGAAGTTTCGGGCCATGGCAACCAGGACACGTCAGGAGTACCTGAAAGACCTGGCGGAAAACAGCGTCACCAACACACCCATCGACCCTTCGGGCAAGTTTCCCTTCATCTCTCTGGCAACTAAAAAGAAAGAGAAATCCAAGCCGTACCCCAACGCAGAAATGAACAGCCCGGGCACCACGGTGTGGAGTGTCCACGCAGAGGACTACAGCTGTTCTGCTGAGATCGACTGCCTGTTGGGCATCTCCAACGAGTTTGTGGTCTTGATTGAGGAGAGCTCAAAGCAGGTCGTGTTCAACTGCTCCTGCAGGGACATCATTGGATGGACTTCTAGTCTCACCACCACAAAAATCTTCTACGAGCGAGGGGAGTGCATTTTTCTCCGGACCTTCAACCATAACAGTGAGGAGATTAAAGAGATCGTCAAAAGGCTAGAGGTGAGTTCTTGGTTCATTGCTGTGAGCACCAGAGTTTTACTACAGTCTTGTATTGTGTGAATATAACTCTAAGGTTGCACTGAATGAATCAAACTGAATGCAATCAATGGAAAAGCTTGTACCCATTTCACAACTGTCATAGAAGATTGCTTTGACTTTATTCTTTCCGTTTGACAATATTGTCTAAACATAAATTGGGGTGTGCAGCTTGTTCTCAAACACTCAATCATCCTCTGTGTATATCTGTATACCAGTTCAGAGTAGTGCAATTGGCTGTTTTTTGCAATTGGCTATTCAATTATCACTTGACCAATAGCACCCAGCACCAGCTTTAGATGTTAAAAATGCACCAAATGAACAGGGTGTTCACAAAGTCCTGTTACTCGCATGTTTTATTGCGAGTGTGCATTGACCAACAACTGAAACACATGGAAGAACAATGATAATTGTATTTAGAAGTACTTCATTGTATTCAGTACAAGTGTTTAACTGTGTTTAAATGTCCAGAGGGTCGGGGTGTATGGAGCTCCATCATTTTCATAATAGATAATGATCCGTTGCCATGTTTTTCGTTGCTACATCTTCCGTAGCATGGATTCAGTGACGAGGAAGTTACTGCTGTCAGACATTGTTACACTTGACACATCTGCAACAGAAAATAAAAATTCATTGTAAGAAAAGAAACACAGTGGCGGGGGGCAAAAGGATTTTGTGAACACGATGTAGAAGGTAGATGCCTGGGAAATACAGTCTACACGTTACGTAAATCCTGGGAAGTGCTTTGACAGAACCTTCCTGTGTGAAGGCACTTTATCAAATGTAAGCATTATTATTTATTTATGAAAGTGGCTGTCTCTGAGAAGCTGCCAGGTGAGGAGGCAGACAAGACATTGCCACTCAGTTTCAAAGACTGTCGGCAAGTCTAAGAGTCGAGAAAAAGTTTTCTAGAGTATAGTGGATAACCAGAAGTGTGTATAAGACATCTCTCATAATTCAGTTGATGCACAATGAGTTGTCTGAGGCCGAGATGAGGTTATTGTTTGAAATCACACCCGTATGTTCAGAAAGGACATCTGAACTGTTCTGTCCCTTCCCAGTGGGTGGCGTTGTCAGTGTTGTCCAGACCACTGTACTGCATTCAGTACTAATCACCTCAACACATCTTACTGAGCAATGCCCTGATTGATTGCTGAAAAATAGCAAGTTATAAATGGCGGTGAGAAATTAGTTTAGATTTGTCCGAATGCCCTGACTGCATTTGTGAATTCTGGAAAAAGAAACCACTAGCCAAATTGTTTTCAGATGTGCTTTGTCTCGTTTCTCATTTAACTCATCTGCATTTTTCCAACAAAGCTCATAAGAACAGGTGTATATGTGCTGTATCCTACATGTTATAATTATTTCTATTCCTGTGTATAGTATTGCAGTTTATTTCAAGTGTGTGGAATAGTGGGAGCCATAACTGTTTATATATATATATATATATTGTCAGCAAGATTTGGTGAGGCAAACCAGTCGGTCACTGGGGTCACATAATTCTTCCTACTTGGCTCCTGTTAACCCTGCAAGCCAAATGGGTAGGGTGGTCCTAGCTGAATGAGCAGGAATTTAGCTGGACAGAGTTTGGTAATGGCCCGCTATCTGTTTTAGCTGATTAAACTCCGGCAGTAAGTATCCACGCCATACACTCTGGGTTCTCCAAGCCTTGGGTCCTGTCAACCTGCACCTAACACTCTCGGAATTAAAAAGGTGGGGCACATTCCTCTCGGGAGAGAGAGCACGTACTACTTCAGGCATAGAGTCATTTCTATGTATGAATGTGCTTGGGACTCTGGGTTTGATATTCTTAAGTGTCGTGATAGCTGACACCTCTCTCTGCCTCCCACCCCGAAAAACAAATATATTCCGATTGAAATAAAACCTGTGAACCCACCTGTCCCTACAAGTCACAGTTCTCTCTGCATCCTTTCAGGTGACGACCAAGGGCTGTGAAACGGTTGAGATGACCTTAAGAAGGAATGGTCTGGGCCAGCTGGGGTTCCACGTGAACTACGAAGGGATTGTTGCAGACGTGGAGCCCTATGGGTACGCGTGGCAGGCTGGCCTCCGACAGGGCAGCCGTCTGGTGGAGATCTGCAAGGTTGCCGTGGCCACTCTGACCCACGAACAGATGATTGATCTCCTGCGAACATCTGTGACTGTTAAAGTCATCATCATTCCACCACACGAAGACAGCACGCCTCGCAGGTATGCCTTTCCCCCCGGTCCTACTTTTAAATCGTGTAACATCAGCAGCAGCAGAGCTCACTGTATTTTAGTGTGGTTCGTTGCCATTTGTTTCACAATTCAGGAGCTTGGCAGTGTCCCTGACTTAATCGCAGGTGAACTAACTTTGCCAGACTGGCCGGTCTGAACAGTCAATGGAGGAAGAGCGAAGATCTAGCAACCCTTTATCAACCGTCCAGAGTAATATTTAGACTATACGGCTATTCCCTGCACTGTGTCCACGCCAGCTGTTAGGCAGGATACGTTAAGTTAATTGTTTGATTCTCACCCTCTGCTCCATTTTAGGGCTTACACCCGACCGTTCTTAAATTGCAATCATGTTAGATGTTTGTGGTATTTTAAGCTGCTTTAATTCCCCCACTGTGACCTCGCCACACTGTGCATTGTCTGCAGCCAAGCCAGATGGGCAGGACACCTGTTCTTAGACCTTGTGGATGTGATATTCTAGAGATTGGATTGACTTGTTTACAATATTGTTCTGCCAGAATCGAGAGCAGGAACCTTGGGAGTATGCAGTGGGTTTCCCTTCACGTACTTCATTCCTTGGCACTTTCCCTTAATAATAATCCTTACATTTGACATAGCGGCTTACCACTTCATTGGGACATTGCAAAGCGCTTCGCAGAATATACTGTAAAGTGAATTGACCTTGTATTTTGTGGCCGAAATGCAGCAACCAATTGCGTGTAGCAGTGTCACACAAACAGTCATGGATTGAGTGACCAATTCCACCTGGAAGCTATACCTCTTGATTCACCAGGTTTTCTAGATGCTCGTTAAACTCCTTGTGCCTGTGACCTTCTCACTTTGCCTGCAGTGAGGAGGCATGTGTTTTCTCATATCCCCAGCCTGGTAGCCACAGTACTTAATAGCAAATGAAGCAGCGTCTGCCCCAAGGGGGCACTGACCATTAAAGCAACCGAGAAACAACCTGAACAATCTTATGTATAAATCAGCATAGGGGAATTGTTTTGCTGCGGAGAGACTGAGCAGTGACCTTGATCTCTCCTGAGAAATACGCTACCATATTCTACTTCTCTAACTATCTAAAACCCAGCTCCATTAGCGCGCATGTGACAAACTGCCACTCAACCCATAAAGGAAAGTTCAGTGGGGAGTCAGACCGTTACATAAACAGTTTGGAACAGAGAAGTATTCTGCATGGGGTTTAACTTCAAAGCGTGCAGTTTGATGTTGTCATGGTGGGTGCATGGCAGGCGGGAGATCTTGCTCAGTGGGGCTCAGCTCATGCCACAGGGTCTGGAGGTCTTGGGAACCCGTCAAGTTCACGTGCCATCTTTGTTAGCCGAAGTATTAGTAAATGCATGATTACAGTACAGGGTGTCCACAAACTTCTGCTACCTGTAGATTTTTTTTTACACAGTGAACTGACCAACAACTGCAACATGTGGAAGAATGATAATAATTGTATTTAGAATTACGTGATTGTATTTATTCAGTACACGTGTACAGTAACTGTATTTAGACGTCTAGAGAATCGGTGTGAGTGAGCACCATCATTTTCACGGTAGATAATGATCCGTTGCCATGTTCGGTGCGATATTTTCCATAAATTGGACAGAGTGAGGAGGCGAAATGGCAGGTTGTTTCAACTCCACCGTAGTCCCTTATCGCTGTTTTGAAACAGCGGGAAACAGGACTTTGTGGACACCCTGTAGTTTGTAAAGATATATGTTGAACCCTATTAAGACAGATGTAGGTGATTCCATGTTAACGAGGTACCGTGTAAACCCCTGCATCGTCCCTTTGAGCTTGTCGATGCTTAATTCCTCACATAGAAGATGGCTGGCACATGGGATTTTATCCTTGTTCTGGGGAAATGACAATGATATATTTTCCCTCGTTGTCCTTCAAATGACACGTTAAGAAGAGGTCCCATTTACCTGTTCAGGTCAGCCATAAATGTCCTCTTGTGCTATTCAAAAAGTGAAGGGTCTTTCTACAGTGTTTTGGTCACCAATCCGCAGATTAAAATTATAGACTCTTCACTGCATGGCTTTCTGTGAGACATTGCTGTGCGCAAATTGGCTGCTGCTTTCATCTACAAAAATCACAGTAAAATCCTGTGAAGCGTTTTGAGATGTTTTGACAATATAAGCCTCTATATCAGAGCTAAGAATTGGGCAAGTTCTCAGGTCGGATCGAAATGTAACCATTCCATTTGTTTGCATCGATCTTCACACAAGTGGAACATATACACTCTGGTGCTCTGGCAAAATCCTATTGTCAGACATCAGTCAGGTCCCTTTTACAGCATTGAAGCTACACGTACAAAAATCAAGAGAGACTAAGCAGCCGAAGGATGATCTGTTCTCTGGTTCCACATATCTTCAAAGGAAAGCACGAGGCTGTTAAACTTTTATTTACAGGTTCCTTCAGCATTGACTGAGAGAGATGAAGTAATTGTCTCGTGACATTGAGTACTTTGTTTCAGTGCAAAACACGGTTACTCGTGCATTCTGCATAAACTGCCCAACTGCACGGAAGAAATTAATTGATCCCCATTGCAATTTAATTGCGATTAGATATTAATAAAGATAAACTAAATGATTTATTTTATAGAATTATATTAAACCTAATAATGCTTGCATTTGGTATAGCTGGTTTACCCATCCTTGGGCCCCTTCTCTTTCTCATCCATATGCTCCCTCTGGGTGATGTCATCTGCAAACACGGGTTTAACTTCCACATGTATGCAGATGATACTCAACTCTACTTTTCCACCTCCAGCTGTGACCCCCGGTTCCCCGATGTTTCAGCAAGGGTTTCAGCAGCTTGGCTGTCGGACATCAGGAGCTGGATGAGCGCAAATTTCCTGCAGTTAAACGTCAACAAGACGGAAGCCATACTCTTTGGCTCTCGTCGATGTCTACTTGCCCACAGTTCCGACCTCCTCAACCTACCCGACTTGTCCTTAAAACTCTCTGAACCCTTGCGCAACTTAGGTGTCAGGTTCGATCCCCAGTTATCCTTCCTACCCCACATCCGGTCCCTGACCAGCACTGCTTTCTTCCACCTCCACCACATTGGCCATCTCCGACAATGCCTCACCCCAAAAGCTGCTGAAACCCTTGTCCATGCCTTTGCCACCTCTCGGCTGGACTACTCTAACGCCCTCCTCGCTGGTCTCCCCTCCTCCACTATTCACAAAATTCAGCTCATTCAAAACTCCGCTGCTAACATTCTCACCTGCACCAAATATCATACCCCAATTACTCCAGTCCTTGCCAAACTCCACTGGCTCCCTGTCACAGAGCAAATTGACTTCAAGATACTCACACTCCCCCCACCCCCCCAAAAAAAATCCCTCCCTTCCTTGGCACCCCCCCGATCTCTCTAACCTCCTCTCTTCCCACAGCAGCACCCGCTGCCTCCGCTCTACTAGGACCAGCCTCCTCCGCGTTCCCCGGATCCTCCGCTCCACCATCGGCTGCTGTGCCTTCAGCCACTACGCCCCGAAACTTTGGAACAATCCTCAACCCCTTCGCCTCGCCTCCTCCTTCCCCATCTTCAGGTCGCGCCTGAAGACCTTCCTTTTCGACCGCACCAACAGTCACCTTCCCCCTCCTCCTGGCTCGGCCTCCACTATTGTTAAGTGCTCTGAGACGCTGCTCGGCGCGGAGGGCGCTATATCAGTGCAAGTTGTTGAAGCGCCTTTCACCTCGGCAGGATGTCTCAAAGCGCTTCACAGGATTTATTGTGAAATGAAGTGATTGTATATTTGTAGGCGTCAGTCCATATGGATGCAACAGTGTCCCACAAACAGCCATAAAACAAATTGTTGGCCAGGACACCCAGAGAAATTCCCTTCCCTTTTTGGGTAGTGGCGTGGGATCTTTAACATCCATCTGAATGGGTCAATGGGGCCTTGGATTAAAAAAAAATGTGTCCTAAGAAAAATGTATCCACAGATCTCAACTATGCGAACACTATGTGAAGTCAAATCCTGACTTAGGACTTGAACCCACAACCTTCTGATGCGAATGCTACTGACTGAGCCAGGATATCACATTATTCACTGACTGTGGCAATTGTAGTTGTATATTGTAATGGAATATGTGACCGAGCAATGCTAAAAGCATCACTGAGCAAGAATTGCATGTTGCATCTTTAGTCAGACCAAAGCTAAGCCAGTTTGCCTCCCCCTCCCCCCCACCCCTCCCCACCAAAAAAAAAAATCCTAATGTTATTAGTTTAGAAGATATTCCCTTTTCAGTAATGGGGATAGAGTGCTCGAAGCATGTGTTTTGCTTGCGTACAGCCCTGACCTCTACTCTCTACTGCATGGATTGAGCCTCTAATACACAGAAACCGGAGGCAAAGAGCTGAGGTCAGCATCTTATCTCTGTCGTGCCCGCGTTGCGTCTGATACGAAGTTAAGTATCTTCCAAATTAATCATGTTATAGCTGCATGTTATTTTCTTTTTGTGGAGGAAAGCTGCTTTACTCGGCCATGGCCACAGATAAAAAAAATGTAATTACGGAGCTGAGCAGCTTCAAAGCATGAGGCAACAGCTGCGCATTCTAATCTGCTCAACCTCTTTCTCCGTTTTCTGGTTGCACTTTGCTCCACTCTGCATCTGCAATCATCCAACTGCGTTCACCATTAATCATCTCGGAGGAAATAATTCCTGTTTTCCTGTTAGCTGGACATTAGAATCTTATTATAGGCTGTCTTTACCTCCCACACCGCCACCCAACCCCCCCCCCCCCCCACCCCCATTGACGAACGGTGTTTTTTTGGAACAATTTGTTTGATTCTTTAATCTCATCGAGGAGATTGCATTCCTGAGGAAACGGCAGATGATCAGCCCTAGTTTTTCCTCTGTAAATTTTATCCATTTAAAAGGGTCTGGGAAATTCTGATGAGATCATTTTATTTTAATAAATGGTTGCCAGGTTCATTCACAAAGATGCATTGACACTGCACAGTAAAAATCCTGTGAAGCGCTATGAGAGGATCTGACAAGGAAAGGGCTATCAAATCATCATTATTATTGTGGAGGCCTGTTGCTCAGTGTTTAGAGCTCTCACCTCATGGAGGAAGAGGACCTGAGTTCAAACTTTGGGCAAGTTTCCTTACTCCACACGCCTCTGTTTACCTAGCAGTGAGTAGGAACCCGGTTGTTAGTCAATCGGCAGATCACTTTTCCGGAGGTAATAAATCCCTCAAATTTTTTTGGGAAAAAAATATTAATAATAATTTGGTAACTCAATCCACGACTGTTATTGGGACACTGACGTACGCCACTGGCTGCCGCGTTTCACCCACAAAATAAACAGTCAATTTACTTTACAGTATATTTTCTATAGCGCTTTGAGACGTCCAGAAGATGTGATAAGGCACTATATCAAATGCAAGGATTATTATATTATTATTACAGCACCAGAAAAGCCAGGCTTAGTTCCTGGCAATGTACTTATCGTCTATATTATACCTGGCAATTGAGTTAGGACGCTGCGTCAGCTGCTTCATGTGCCGTGTCCTGTCCACCTCACCATCAGTGTGCAGGCCTTCAGCCTTTCCGACCACACTCTCTGGAACTCTCAAGGCCTGTCCCTTTGACCATACCTAGCTCGGGTGCCCAGCCAGCAATGTTCAGTGCTTTGGGCTTTCTCCCAACGGGAAAGGGAGGTATAAATGTAAAGTTATATATTGCATCATCACAGGACATTCAGGGGATTTCACTAGTCCTTGATTTAGTGGGTGCGATATAGTGTGTGTTTCTCCAGCACTAGTGAGGTCCAGTGAGAGGATCATGTTGTGACCACGCAAAGGTATGTAAAATATTTTCTTATCATTGTATTGACCTTGGAATCCTGAATGGAACTACTGGAACTCAGAGCTTTCAGGTCCCAGGTCTTGAGCGAAAACAGCTAATTCGCTGACTGGAGTATTTGTACAGTGTAGCGGTTAGAACGTATTGCCTTGCAAACGAGAGGACATGGGTTAGGGGGCAGGGCACAACTATAGCCAAGGTTCCTTAGTCCACATTGCGGAGGTAATAATCCCCATCAAAAATAAATTTTGGTCACTCAATCCATGACTGTTTGTGGGTCATTGTTATCCGCAATTGGCTACCGCATTTCCATATACAGTCAATTAATTCATTCTACAAGATATTCTGTGAAGCGCTTTGAGATGTCTCAACGACGTGATAAGGTGCTATATCAAATGCAAGGATCATTATTATTTTTTGCTTCCGAAGCTTCTCAGTGAGGCGATGTACTTGTCAGAGGCATGTCTGCTTAGAATGGCACCTTGTTGGTATAAAGCTTAATGCTGCCTTCTGAACCCAAGTCTCTAAACATCTTGTTTTTGGGTCTTTTACAGAATTACATTGGGACCTAATTTGTTTTTGTCCCAGTGAATTTCAGTTCAAAGCTTTTATCCTCCAGGACCGTCTCCAGCAAATGCAACCAAATGCAAAGGCTACTGTATTTCTCTATCACTGTTTTCTATAACCAAAATAACTCTTCAGATTGTATGAAGTGTATTCCGTGGCTATAAATAATTTCAGTACCCAAAAGCTACATGCACTGCAAGCATTCACTGCGGCAATTGAATCATTGAAGAGCAGATTGATTCCCAGGTGCATTTTCAGACTTAAAAATGAAGCCTGTGTGGGGCTGGGAAGAAGGAGATGGGTGTAATGCAGATGGGGCAGTTACTGGGATCCATACATTTAGTCCATCATAACTCACAACTGCAACATGTATCGATGGGTTTTGATAAGCACTTGCTTTCACTTATGAAATCTGGTTTTGGTTACATATAGGCTAGTGATGGACTGAACTGATCTTCTCACTCTACTCTTTATATTCACCCACAAAATAAACAGTCAATTCACTTTACAGTATATTCTGTGAAGAGCTTTGAGACGTCTCGAAGACATGATAACCCGCTATATTAAATACAAGGATTATTTATTATTATCATGTTGTTCATACTGTTGTGTGTGTGTGTGTGTTTGAATGTTTAGCTATTGTACAGGCAGAGTGCCCTCCCGTGCTTACGGTCACCTGCACCCTCCCTTCAGCTCGGGGTCGTGCTCCACCACTGTCAAGCGCTCTGGGATGCTACCCTGTGTGAGGGGCGCCATATAAATGCAAGTTGTTGCTGTGCGTTTGAACGATCATGAGCAGCCACTCAAGAATCTGCGACGTAGAAATCTATAATCTTGCTCAGCGCAGGAGCAAAGGTCACAAATCCTTCCGACGTGAAAGGCACTAACAATATAAATGTCATTTTGTTGTTATATAATCCCACTCGGCTGCCTCCAGGCACTCTAACTGCTGTCAGTGCACTGCGCAGTTGGAAGCTTTAACGCAGGTCTTCACGATCATTAGTTCGTGGTTTTCTTTGTGCACTTCCCCAGTTACAGGCCAAATTGGAAGGTTATAGCTGGTCATTCCTCCTGCCTGTGGGCCAGCATCCACCTCTTTAACAAGACTAACAAGGAAATGGATTAATCCAGCACCGATATCCATGTTTATTGTGTCTTTCATAAGTGGCAACCTACCGAGTATAATGAAGTTTAGGGTTTTATTTTCCCCAGGTAAATCAAATCACACAGCAATGCCCTTTCTACTTGATAACATTCGCTGCATTTATTTCCCCTGTTTTGTTCCCCAGGGGTTGCTCTGAGATGTACCGCATGCCTGTGATGGAATACAAGGTGAACAACGAAGGGATTCCATACGAGTTCAAATTGCCCTTCAGGAACAGCAATAAGTGGCAGCGAGGAGTGCCACCCGCACACAGCACCGCTCAGTCCCAGGCACAGTCACAAGCACAGGCCCAGAACCAGGCCGCCAGCAGGATGGTGTCTGCGAGTATCAGCAGGGCCCAGGCACAGGAGCGGGAGCGAGGGGCTGCAATGCCTCGCAGTGCGTCCAGTGATGGGCGGCCGATGGACAATAAGAGGTTTGTTGTTCACCTTTGCGTGCGCTTCGGAACACAATTTTAATTACCAGACGATAACCAGGGATGAAGGACTTCAGTTATGTGGAGAGACTGGAAAAGCCGGGATCGTTCTCCTTAGAGCAGAGGAGGTTCAGGGGAGATTAAATAGAGGTGTTGAAAATTGTGACAGGTTTTGATAGAGTAAATAAACCGTTTCCACTGGCAGGTGTGTCGGTAACCAGAGGACACCGATTCAAGATAATTGGCAAAAGAACCAGATGGGAGATGAGGGGAAAAAAATGTTTACAGTGCGAGTTGTTACGATCTGGAAAGCACAACCTGGAAACAGATTCAATAATAATTCTCAAAAGGGAATTGGATATATATCTGAAAAGGAACAATTTGCAGGGCTATGGGGTAAGAGCCAGGGAGTGAGACTAGTTGGATACCTCTTTCAGAGGGCTGGCACAGGCACGATGGGCTGAATGTCCTCCTCCTATGCTGTAAGATTCTGTAATCGTATACATCTTAAATGGTCATGGTCCTCTGTCTAAACAAGTATGAACTGCATTCTGGCTGCTCTTTAACCTTTATTTCTTGGATTAAAAAAAGCCTCTTCCCCCGTACACATCATTCTTTACATTTTCCTCACGTAGCTTTGCTAACTCCTCCGATAGTAAGAGCACGGCCTTGTGTGAATGCAGGAACGTAGACATTTATCCAGGAAAGCTCTCAGCTTTGAACTCCTGTCTATGTGGACATATTTAATCGGGATATTAGTATTGGTCTTATCAACCCCTACCCACTCAGTGTCAGTTCGAGCTCCTGCTTAAAAAACACATGTATATCAAGTGATGACAGATTCCCGTTCTGTTAGGAACTGTGAAAAAGGGGTTTCCAAATTAAGACTGAATTGAAATCAAATCCCAACTGCCTTTAAGGAGGAAACAAAGCCTTTTGAAAGTGTGATATCTCACAACGGTCTTCCTGAGCAACTTGAAGTCGGAGCTTTTGTCTCTGATGTCTCTTTGTCTCAGTGGGTGTACTGTGAAACAATGAACAGAACCACTGTCAAAGAATGCTTCTCCCAGATAATCCAGAAACCTTTTCAAACCCTTTTTGGCTAAAGATTTTGCAAAGTCTTAATATTTTAAAATGATGATTTTCAGGCATAGACCTGAAGAATGGGACATTTCCCAGCACACTCGGAGGTGCTGGCACAATAATAATAATAACTTGTTCATTTCAATCCATGACTGTTTGTGGGACACTGCTGTGTGCAATTGGCTGCCACATTTTGCACACAAAAATATACAGTCAATTCACTTTACAGTATATTCTGTGAAGTGCTTTGAGACCTCTTGAGTCTGCTCCACCATTCTATTAGATCATGGCTGATCTGTACCTCAACTCCAATTACCTGCCTTTGCCCCATATCCCTTGATACCCTTACCTAACAAAAATCTATCCACCTGAGTCTTGAAAATTTTAATTAAACCAGTATACACAGCCTTTTGGGGGAGAGAGTTCCAGATTTCCTCTACGCTTTGTGTGAAAAAATGCTTCCTAATTTCCCTCCTAAAAGGTCTAGCTCTAATTTTAAGACGACGTCCCTTTGTTCTGGATTCCCCCACCAGAGGAAATATTCTCAGTATCTACCCTATCAAATCCCTTTATCATTTTAAACTCCTCAATCAGATCACCCCCCAACAACAACAACAAAATTAAATTTATAGAACGCCTTTCACGTCCGGAGGACATCTCCCAAGGCGCTGGACAGTCAGGGGTCAGGAGGCAAGCATGGGGACGGGTGGGTTAGGGAAGGCAGAGAGGTGGGAGGGGAACTGAAGGCACGATCGAAGAGGAGAGTCTTGAGACTGGCCTTGAAGGAGGCAAGGGAGGAAGCGAGGCAAGGGGACTGTGGGATGGAGTTCCAGAGTGAGGGGGCAGAGAGGCTGAAAGCCCAGCCACCAATGGTAGGGTGAGTTGGGCAGGATGGGAGTGATGGGGTCACGGAGCCTGGTGCGTGAGAGTACACGAGCTACAGAGTTTTGGATGATCTGCGGCTTGTGAAGGGAAGAGTTGGGAAAGCCGATGAGGAGGGAGTTCCCATAATCAAGCCTTGAGGTGACGAATGCGTGGGTGAGGATTTTGGCAGCCTGAGGGGTGAGGCAGTGGCGGAGTCTGGCAATGTTACGGAGGTGGTGGTAGGCAGTGCCGGTCATGGCGCGGATGTGGGGGAAGAAAGGACAGTTCATGGTGAAACAAGACACCCTTCTAAAGTTCATATCTGACCCACAGCTCCTGCGATGTCAGAGACAAAATCTAGGCTGTGAGATATCACACTTTCATTCCTCCTAAAAGGAGGTCGGGGTGATTTAATTCCTACCCAGATGGCCTTCGTTCCTTGGCAGAATGAAGAACAAGACATGTTTAAAATGTTTATAAAAGTACTGACAATGGATATTGCATGCTTTGAGCGCTGGATAATAGTTCTTGGATGAACCTGCAGAGTTCAGTCACAGCAGCAGTTTTATAAACTTTTACCTCCCTCTTTGGGCTGCTTGCGTTGGAGCCCTCACAGCTGTGTAATCTGCAGTGAAAACTCAAGCATCTGAAATGTGCATCAAAGTGACTTGCAGAAAGGAGCATTTCACACAGTTGAGTTGAGATGATCTGTTGGCTCATCTCCCAGATCGTCTCCTTTCATACGTTGAACGAGTGCAGAGGAGGGTCACGGAAGTTTGGAATTTCACAAGAAACAGGCGTTTGAATTGTTCGGGTCGGTGAGGCTGAAATGCACTTTTGAAGGTTAGAGGAGCAGTAAGATTGATCAAGGAGATCATCGGGATGCCCTCAATCCTGATACATTATCATGCATCACTGATGGTTGGATGCCACACGGCATCGGAGAAGTAGAAGGTGCTGGCAACTTGAAAAGACGAGAAAAATGACAGGGATCTAATAGTAAAGAAAATCCTACCTGTTCTTCACTTCCTCCCACATCAAACAGAGAACAATGTACTCCTACACCTACATTATAATAATAATCCTTGCATTTGATATAACGCCTTATCACGTAGTCGAGACATCTCAAAGTGCTTCACTGAATGTATTGTAATGTGGACTGACTGCAATCCCTTCACTCCCTGGCACCTCCCTACCTCTCCTCACTCCCCAATCCACCACTAGCTCGACTGGCACTGGCTTCCTGTTCGTCCCTCACACCCTCCGCCCCACCATCGCAGGTTGCGCTTTCAGCCACTGGGCCCCAAAACTCTGGAACACTCTCCCTCAATCTCTGGGCCTTGCCCGCTCTCTCCCCTCTTCCAAGTCCTGGCTGAAAACTTTCCTCTTTGACCATGCTTACGGCCACCTGCCCCCAATTCGGAGTCAGGCTCTGCCACTGTTAAGCACTCTGAGACGCTACCCTGCGTGGAGGGCACTATTATACGTGCAAGCTGTTGTTGTTGACTATATTTTCTGGGCAAAACACGGTAGCTTAATTGCGCACAACAGCGTCCCACAAAACGTTGTGGATTGAGTGCTCAAATTTATTTTGAGGGATTATTACTCCCAAAAAGTGATCTACCAGTCAATGAACAACAACTAACAACCGGGTTCCTACGTGCTGCTAGGTAAACTAGAGGCGTGTGGAGTAAGGAAACTTGCCTAAGATTTCACCCTGCTCGGGAACCGAACCTGGGTCCTCTCGCTTGCTAACCGCTACGCTGCTGGAAAGCCTGCAGCTTTCAACATGGCTTAGCCACACTCACTGGGATTCATGGTCAAAGCTGGTTGTAGCATAGATCCTCGACTTTCTGTTTTTTGATGGGCGATTAACTGTTGTATTAATATATAATTTGCCGAAGGAAAACACCTCAAAGGGTTAAAGCCTACCCTGAACACATGAGCAGACACAGCTGTCTCTCATTATACTTTGCGACATGCTGGAGTTGTACTCTGGGGTTTAAACCAGAACCACACAGGTCAAGGACCTTTTTGTAGCAAGCTGCAAGTATTTGTTCTCACAATAGGAGCTCTTGGTGGAGCTGAGGAGACATTCCAGCCTAGTTAACTAATGGGATTCGCTGGAGATCAACAAATTTAGACAGTTTAAAAGCAGCACAATGAGACATCTCTGCTGCTGGACATCAAGTTGTTGCAAATCGAAGACAGCTTCAGTGACTGCTGGAATTATTTTTTTAAAAAAAGATCTACCAAGAGCAGCACAATCAAACGGGGGCAAAATCGTTCCAGGTTCGTCAAAAGCGAGTGAAGCAACAAAACCACTCGGACTGAAACTAAATCTGCTTCTCGTTGGAAGTTGGCGCCAAAATCAGCCAAGTCCGAGAATCTTGGAGCAAGTTGCGTTGGAAATAAAATGATAATGGTTAACCGTTTAGACCCGACCCAGGGTCAGAATAGGGTGGCAATCAGCATAGAGTCGTCTCAACGACGTGATAAGGTGCCGTATCAAATGCAAAAATTATTATGATTATTATTAGGTAAAATGTTGGGCAAGTTTCCTTACTCCACACGCCTCTGTTTACCTAGCAATAAGTAGGAACCCGGCTGTTAGTCGATTGGCGGATCGCTTTTCTGGAGGTAAAAATTCCTTCCCCCAAAAATTATAATAATACATTGGTCGGTAAATCCACGACTGTTTGTGGGACACCTCTGTGTGCAATTGGCTTCCCCGTTTCGCCCACAAAATATACAGTCAATTCACTTTGCAGTACATACTGTGAAGCGCTTTGAGACGTCTCAAAGACGTGACAAGGCGCTGTATCAAATGCAAGGATTATTATGATTATTATTATTATCGGCAGTAAATTGATGGCAACCAGCAGCAGGGGGTATTCCTGTTGTCCCCTAGATTGAGGAGTGGGGGTGGGATCGTTCAGGGGGTGTCACCCCAGTGAGGATACACTGACTCCTGCTGGAAGGTGCAAGCGTCTGTGGCTGAGGACAGGATCGGGCTAGTCTGCGATGTCCCAACCCTGCAGTAGGATAAACGGTCGAGACTCGCACATAAATAATGGCCACTCAGGCGACATACAGCAGCAGGGTATCAGCAGAGCCCAGTCGTGTAATGAAAGAGTTTGAAGCGCTTTGAGGAAATCGCAGAGTGATTTATATCAAACACTTCATTCTGATTTCATAACCATCTTTCTCAACGAGAAGTAAAATAGTGGAGACGTATCGAGAGCCTTTAAAGGAACCAGGGAATAGGCGAGGGTTATTTTCCTGTGACGGGGGAACTGCAGGGGCCAATGCTCTGAGACTGTTGTAATATTATTTCGACAGATTAAAGTGAATACAATAATAATGATATAATATGTAATAATCCTTGCATTTGGAACAGCATCTTATCATGTCGTTGAGCCGTCTCAAAGTACTTCAGAGAATACAACGTAAAATGAATTAACTGTATATCTTGTTCCAAATGCCAGTGTTTTCTTTCATGCTGGGCTGAAATGTGAATGATTCCCATTGTTCCTCTACCAGATTTTTTGCATGGACAGGATTCTGAGAAGGTTTCGGGGTTTTTAAGCAGGAGAGTGGAATGTCCGTTAACTTGTGTGGTAAGCAAAACATACACGTTCTGTTTAAAGGCTGCCGTACCAATAAGAGCTTAACTACGTCACCAGTCTGACAGATGGATTGGGGGGTGGAAGGAAAGCAAAAATAAAATGAAGCCAAATAAATCTGGAGAGTTGGTCTTTGCTGCTGTTGCTGTGATGGTGAGTACCTCAGGCAGGAGGCCCCCACGTGCTCCGATCAACAATTATGCAGCGGAGCCCAGCTCTGGAACAACTTAAGAACTTGGCACTGCCAGACTAATAACCCTTACACTTTGTACAGAGTCTGTAAGTATGTCGCAGAAGATGGCTGCAAGTGTTGTGACTGCGCATTAGGTAAATGTGAGTTCAAAGCAGGTGTAGTGTAAACGTAAACTAATCGAATCCGACCATCAAAATCATCAGCTCTTTAATAACATTAAACGTGCAACAGCTGATTATTGGCACTCTGGGGTTTGGGAGCATTAACTGCTCTCTCGCAAGCATTGTAAACTGGGCATTGGATTACAGTGTAACGGTCTGAGATCAGCCTTGTGTTCTCTTTCCTGCTTCTTCTTTTCCCCTGGATATTTATTGTACCAACAACAAATAAAATTTGTGTTCGCCTTTCACATCGGGAGGACGACAAGTTGTTGGACAGTCAAGGATTTGCACCCAAGCTGGGGGTTGGGATCAGGAGGGTAGGGCTAGGAGGGTGGCTGAAGGTGTGGTCGAAGAGGAGGGTCTTGAGACGGACCTTGAAGGAGGCAAGAGAGAGGGCAAGGCAAAGGGAATGTGGGATGGAGTCCCAAAGGGTGGGGTCAGAAAGACTGAAGGCCAGACCGGCAGTGGTGGGACAGGCAGGATGGGGGACATGAAACAGGCCAGAGTCCGCTGAACGGAGAGCGTGGCTAGGTTTCACTTTGAACCATAGAAAGCTTACAGCAAAGAAGACAGCCATTTGATGCATCACAGCTGTGCTGCTACTGGCTCCCCAACCATAGCAACCCACAGTAATCCCATTACCCTGCTCCTTCCCCCATACCCTTTCATGTTATTTTACCTTGAGCATTTAGTCAATTTCTTTTCGAAGTCAGTAAGTGGCAGATACCTCACAGACTGGCTGTGTGTCCCAGTAGATATGGAACAGGCTCCCTGGGGAAACCGTGGAAGCAGAAAGTGTTGATTCTTTCAAAAGCGAATTACATCAAATTTTTTTTAGGAAATAATATCGTTGGACACAGTATAAAGTTGGGAACATGACGTAGGCCTGAGACTGCCAGGATGGTGGAAGGCGAACTGGATGGACCTTGGCCTTCCTTGGTTGAGCAATTCCTATGTTCTTATGAGGCTCAGCTCTGTGTCAATCAGGAGCCACTGCAACCAAGAATGTGACCTACCTTTGTGCAGAGCCCTCAGCCTCTGCATTCTTCGGCTTTACGGGCTGTCTGCTCCGCTAAATAAATCTAACTCCTGGCTTCAGTTAGATTGGGTACTGAGTTCTCCCAAGTCTCGACTATTGTGATAAATCAGTGTTTAGACACAAGGGAGGTTTTTTTTGACCCAAGTTTCAGGGTTAAGACATTGTTAAGTTGTAATACCAAGATGGCTTAAATGTTGGTGTCAAATTTATCGGTGGTTTTGGCTGACTGTGTAACGATTGTACATCAGTGTTTTTGTGGAATGCGTTGGAATACTCAAAAGGAGAAGGGAGTTTCTCCTGGTGTTCTGGCCAACAATCCTCCCCCAAATAAGATTGTTCATTCACTTCATGGCTGTTTGTGGGGCCATTGCTGTGCACAAATTGGCTGCTGGGTTCACCCACAAAACACACTGCATTTTACAATATATTCTGTGAAGCGCTTTGAGATGTTCTCTGACATCAAGGCGTTACATCAAGCTAAGTATTATTACTATAGTTTGGGTAACACACACTTAATAAAGGAAAGTTACAGCAAGTTATAATAATCACCCTTAATGATAATTATTGTATTTGATATAGCATCCATAACGTCAATTTCTCAAAATGCTTCACAGGTGATTGGTGTTGAGTGTAGTGACTGTGTATTTTTAGGCAAACGTGGCAGATAGTTTGCACACAGCAATATCCACGACAATCCCATAAAGTGAATGACCAATTTATCAGGTTGGTTTGAATGCTCTTAAGCATGGTGATGGCTTTCTTCTCTGCACGTGTCAGACACCCGGCTGCCCAAAGCAGATCTGATGGATAAGTAGGTAATCGGTCCCATCAGTAGGAGGGAGGGGGGAGAGTGATGGGGTTGACATTTTGTTGTGACCATCTGAAAGATCACGCCTTTCCCCCAGCTTTGAGACATCTCAACGACATGATAAGGCCCTGCGTCAAATGCAAAGATTATTATTAACTTTCTCTTTCGGGGGCCGGTTAAATGACTGAGTCAATCCAGCGATTTGTGTTTTCATTTCTGATGAAGATGGGCATACGCTTTTCCCCCTTGTATCTCCACAAACATTTTACATTTCTAACGTCCTTGGGGATTTCACATTGTAACATGAAGGATTATTGTTCTGTTGTGCATTTGCACTCCTGAACACAGAAACCAGACACAGTTGAACCCATCTATATCTTCTTATCTGCAGTATTTTCCATTTTGTTTCTATCTTCTTATCACTTATGGCCCAAATCGTCCCAAACTCGCTCGTAAGGGACACCTCGGCACTAAGGGCAAAACAGGTCAGTTTATTGACCACCCTCAACTCCACGAGTTTCTGCTGTGATTTTTATTTCAAGCGAAGTGGTGACAGGTTGCCTCTCTTGCAGATTGCACCCCTCGGCGGACAGTCCCTACGTGTCTCTATCGTCGGTCTCGGTGGGAAGGAGCCAGCACTGCCGCAGCTCTCCCAGCAACCTGTCTTCCTCCAGCGACACTGGATCTGGCGGTGGCTCCCACCGGAGGCAGAAGTCCACCCCTGACGGGTGAGTGCCAGCCCGTGCTGTAATTAATCCGGTTGTTAGCGGCTCGCCTGAGGCCAAGTTAGACGCGTGTTGTTGAGTTTGTACGCATTGATCTCTGTGCCCTGCCGAGCAGACTAAACGAGAGGCTGATATCGCTGACATCTGTTAACAGGTATTCATTTCCTGCTAATTGTAGGCTCCAAAATTAGAATGAAATGAGGCAGAAAGAGACGCATGTTTTTTTTTGCTCCAGATACCTGTAACACGCTGTGCAGGCAAGCGGGTTTATTTAAAGAGGCGACCCGCGCTGCATGTATTGTGAAACCATCAAAAAATATCGCACATTGTTCTCTTGGTGGCCCCTGATATAGCCCTTTGTTGAACCTTTCATGTTACTTGTTGAAACAATTGCTGTCTGGTAGTACAATACATAAGGAGGATACTGCTGTCTGCCAATTAAACAGCAATATCAAGATCCTTGCAATGCGTACAGAATGCACAGGGCGAAACACGAGGTATCATCGTGAGGATGTCAATACTTAGCGTCAATCTTGCCCGCTTTCTTCTGCTTGCGGCTTGGTGCTGACTTGTCCTGCCTTTCTGTCTGAACGCAGGCTGCCAGCCGAGCAATAGGAACGGCCTGAGCAAGCCACCGTATTTAACTGTGTCCATTTATGTTTGAAACGATGAAGGGAACAGGTGAGCTAGACAGGGAACAGCAACAAATCGCATTTATATAGCGCATTTCATGTCGGGAGGACATTCCAAGACACAAACGAGACGCAGATGTAGAATTACCTGTTCGGGTGAATGTCAAAGATCCCATGGCACTATTTGGAAAGAGAAGGGAGCTTCTCTCTCCTGGTGTCCTGGCCAACAATCCCCCAAATAAAGTTGGTCCTTCATTTCGTGCCTGTTTGTGGGACATTGCTGGGTGCAATTTGGCTGCAGTGTTCACCTTTTTTTTAAAAAAAAGTGACCAACTTGACAGTAATTACTTTTGAGATGGCAAAAGTAACAGGTGACGTGAGATGTCCTCACGTGAAATGGCTCTATATTAAATTGCAAGGATTATTATTACTTTGGTGGAGAATTAAAACTTTTAAGGATAAATGTAACTCCTTTCTTTTTACTACAAGAGATGCCGTTTCCGAGCACTAGCATACATCATAATAATAATAATAATCCTTGCATTTGATACAGCGCCTTACCGAGTCGTTGAGAAGTCTCAAAAATGCTTCACAGAACATATTGTAAAGTGGATTGATTGACGGTGTAATTTGTGGGCGAAACACCCACATGTAACTGGAAATAACCTGCTTCTTTTTGAAGAAAACTTCTGTTTTCAATTGTGGCAGATGCTTCTCCAATCCCTATCCCCCCAATCCCCCTCCCACCTCCCCACCACTGTCAGATCAGATCAGTTTATTTATAGAGGTTTGGCTGATGGTGTGCAAACATTACAGATCATTGTGGAATTTGAAGTAAAAGCAGCACAGTCACCGAGCTGTGGGAAATGCCTTATCCAGACTAATGAACGGTTTTATTTACTCTCTCTAATCACATGCACACAGAGCTCCATGGCTTGGTAGGAACGACTACAATTTAGCAATGGAAATCCAGCTCGCTCCCAAACAATCAGGCTATTCAAAATAATCCCCAAAAAGCTGGGATAAATGTGATGCATCCTAAATGTTTTGTAAGGTACAGCATAGGTTTTTTTTAAAAAATCTGTTACAATTGACATTTTACATTTACACACAAGAATGTGCAGTTACTGAAATTATGTGGATTTTTTAAAAAAAAGTCTGATTCATGCTATAAAACATTAAACCGTCAGTATAGTAATCGCATCAGGTATGATCCATCTAATTCTCTGTCTCTCTAACCTCTGTGTATTTATCTTCTTGCACACAAACACAGGCCACACAAACACACTGTGCCACTGCCCGCTGTCCCAGTAAATCAGATTTTCTTAAGTGTTTAATTCCTACCAGGTTGGATCACATTGTTTACAGAAGTGGCCATACCTGAGTGTGTGTGTGTATATGGCTCCGCTAGGTTTCTCCCCCACTCTTATGCACACAAGCTTCCTCATTGGTTCTGTTTGCTTTTGATAACCTCTTCAAGTGTGAGTTCATATGTGAAAGGTAAGAAAATAAAGGCACTGAAATTGCTGCGTTTGTGATGCTCCTCAAATGCTCTCACTCATTCGTTGTTGTAATTGTTCAATATTTAAGCGCTCTGACCCTCTGCCCCCATTTGAAGGGCGCTGTATCAATGCAAGTTGTTTTTGTTGTTCCTGCTGGGGTGGGAATTATTCCAAGTCCGACTTTTTTTTAAGATATAATCTACTTTCACGTCTTTAATCAATTTTTCCCTCACTAAGCTCTCTTCTGACTGATTACTTACCAAAGAGGCTTTGCCCAATGAGTAAACATCCTCCCCTTTTGATTTCTGTCATCAGTTTTGGCATCAACCGGCGATCTCCGGGGTCGATGGATCGGCAGAGCTTCAACGAGAGTGGGGGTAGCGGGAAATCCACGCCCAGCTGGCAGAGGAGCGAGGAGAGTAACATGGAGAAAACCACCCCCGGTGAGTGTCATGGCCTCTCATCTGCCTCCTGGAATTGAGAAAACATCTGGTCTATTCATACTGGCACAGTAAATTATTACCAGTTCATTTCAATCTGCGTTGCCATGTACACGTTTATAAATTCAAACCATGACTTGTTTGTGGCATTACTGCTGTTTTAATATAGCAGACGATGCCCTCTTTCTGCCCTCCGATTACTTCTTGTAATCGCTCTCGGACTTGGCTTGTGCCCTCTTTGTTTCACTGACTAATGCAGTAATGAGGCATTTAGTGGTTTCCAGCTTGTCGCACTCTGTCGGAGGAGGGGAACTGGATCCACTCGGGCAAGAACGCATTGTTGGCCTGGTTCTGTTGGCAGCACTGTGGCTTCTGAGCCAGAAGATGGTGGCTTTGAGACCCAAGTCAACACTATGAGATCATTAGCTTAGACTGACATTCTAGTCAGTTCTGTAGAAGTGCTACACTGTCAAAGCTACCGTCTTTCAAATAATAATAATCCTTGCATTTTGATATAGCGCCTTTCACATCTTCTAGACATCTCAAAGCGCTTCACAGAATATACTGTAAAGTGAATTGACTGTATATTTGTGGGCGAAACGCAGCAGCCAATTGCGCACAGCAGCGTCCCACAAACAGTCGTGGATTGAAAATGACCAATTTATTATTGTTTTTGTTTTATGAAGGGATTATTATTAGGCGTTTGGACCCAGGTGCTCTAACCATTGAGCTACAGGACTCCACACGTTGGATGAGACGTTAAACTCAAGATCCTATCTGCCTGTTCAGGTGGACGCAAAAGATCCGGTAGCACTAATCAAAATGATGAGGGAGTTTCTTCTGTGTTTTCCTGACCACCCATCCCCCAGATAAACTTGGCCCATCTCTTTGTGGCTGTTTGTGGGATATTGCTGGGCACAAATTGACTGTTGTGTTGGCCCACAAAATAAAAAAAATCACCAGATTTTGATGGAGCTTCTATATTATTATACGATGGCTACTACTAATCCTTGCATTTGAAATAGCGTTTTTTTTCCACGTCAACAGGATATTTCAAGTGCTCACAGGATATACAGTAAAGTGCAAGTTTTGTGGGAAAACACAACAGCCAAAGTAGGGCACAGCAATGACCCACATCTCAATTGAGGGTCCAATTGAGTGAATTACCATATTTTTGTTTGGGGGGGGTGGGAGGAGAATTGTTTGCCAAGAGACTTGGAACAACTATTTGAATAGTGCCATGGGATCATTAACATCCATCTGAACAGGCAGACGGGTTTAACATCTCGCTCGGTTGACGACACTGAGGTGTAAGAGAGCGGAGTTGCTTTCCCCTCCGAGCTGGCTAGGATCCAAAATGGTGAATGCAACAGAGCGGTGGATGATTGGTCATTTGGTAATTTGGAATGTTTATGGTTAGAATCTAATTTCTTATAGTTCCTGATTTTGAAGCGGCTGGATCGAGACAGAATTTGCTACTTCAATCCCCGCTGCCATTTAAGCCTTGACTGATTTTCTGGCTTCAAGATTAGTAAATTAGTAAATTATCACTGGATGCCGCAGTGTTTACAAGGGTTTTACTTGGGGCAGGAAGAACTGGCTTCTGAGGGTTTTAAGCTCCTAAACTGCCTTAGCTCTAGTCCAGATCATCCGCTTCCAATTATTGAGTCTTGATAATCATCGGCAGTGAAACATTGCTCCTTTCTAACTTGTCTTGGATCTGAGCTCCTTTGTGAAATCTCTGCACAATTTTCCTACCAGATGAAAGACACATCTGTTCATGATGTTTGTGGGACACTGCTGGGCCCAATTGGCTGCCGCGTTTCGCCCACAAAATACAGGCAATTCACTTTACGACATATTCTGAGAAGCGCCTTGAGACGTCTCAACGATGTGAACAACATGCAAGGATTATTATTCTGTCATTCGGAAGATTGCAACTCGAATGGAGTTCAGCACACAACATGTTAAAACGTCTCATGAGATGAACTGAACTCATTCCAAACGTCGGAAAGCTTCTCCCTTGCCAAAAGGGCCTCCTCTTATTTTCATACTAACTGAGGTTCTTTTCTTCCGAACCATCTGTTTTGTCTGTGTGTTACTGTTACTGTTATTATGCTGTGCATCAGATTGCAGTGTGCGAGACAGGATGTGGTTTAGCTTTTGATATCCACCATTATTCCGAATGACAATGATAAACCCTAATACTGTCTCCCCGCTGCGTATCCCCAGCCATCAGAGTGGCTCCTGCAACGCCCAGGAACTAGTGACGCGGATTTATTCCTGAACTAGGAAGATCTCGAGAGCTTGAGAAAACCTTCAAGTCAGAAAAGGCTGATCGTTCTTCAGTGCATTAATTCTCCTGTCATGCTTATATGGGTCTTAAATAATCTCAATGTTGGCTCCAATACTTTGCTGGCAAGACTATTCCAAACAATTTATTATTCTTTCTACGTCCTGCAGTCTTTCTGTGAACTTGAGTAAAATCAACAGTTGTGTTATATTGACAGTGGCATTAAAATGCCATTAATGTGGTTTTTTTTTACAGTGTTTTTACTTCTGAATAGATCCCATTTCATTTCCCCCGTCTGAGGCCCGCTCCCCAGCACTAATTCACCATTAGTAAGCTCTCTTTACTGCCCAAACCCTCAGCCACGTCTTAAAAGTTAATAAAGGTATTTTGGCGTCTTTAGGTTATTTATTTTGCCAAAAAGTGGACGTCTTGGAGCCAGGAATATCTGCCAGGAATGCCTTATAGACTCTAAGAGGTCCATTCTGCGACATTTGCGAAAGAGGCATGAAATTAAGATTTATCACGCCATCTCACTATTTTCTTAACTCATTGTTCCTCAATATGAACATTGGAACTCCTTACTTGATCAGTCTAGCCTTCCTCATACGCATCTCTTTCCGGGGTTAATAATCTCTCCCCCAAACACCAAGCTAGCAGTCGCATAACCACTGCTTCTGGATTTAACTTGCTCCCTACCCTCTTTAAAGGTTCACCTCAAAACGTACCTCTTTGACCACTCTTTTGGTTATCTTTCATCGTCTTAACCCCTTCAGCTTCCACCCCTCAGATCCGATGCCCAGCCAAAATCGGGACATTCTCTCGATATGAAAGGAGTTCCATAGTGTGATGGTTAGGGCATTCGCCTCACAAGAGAGGACCCGTGTTTGGTGCCTGAAAGCTGAGGCAAGTTTCCTTACTCCACACGCCTCTGTTTAACATAGCAGTAAGGAAGAACCCGGTTCTTAGTCGATTGGCATATCACTTTCCGGGGGTAATAATCCCTCTAAAAATAATTATGGTTTGGTCACTCAATCCACAACTGTTTGTGGGTCACTGTTGTATCCAATTGGCTGCCAGTTTTTGACCATAAAATCTACAGTCAATTCACTTCACAGTATATTCTGTGACGCGCTTTGAGACATCTCAGTGATGTGATAAAGCGCTATATCGATGCAAGGATTATTGTATTTATTAATAAAAGAGCTTGTAGTCTTAACAAAACTGATCCTTCTCTTAACTTTTTGGCCCTTTCTCTACTTTTCTCAGCACTTGTAAGAACTGAACTCTTGCCTCTTTGGAGATTAAAATATGCCACCTACACACTCTTCCTCTCTGTGTTAAAAGAAATCAAAACTCCTCACATCTCCTCCTGCACCTCGGCTCCCTGGATCCCAAAATGAGGAAGGAATTCCTTTCCCTCAGTCTTTTTTTTCCTGTCCTCCCTTTGCGATATGGTTGATGTCAAATTTGACCCAGTTTTTAATCTGTGTTTCCTGAGCTCAGCGCACAGAATGCCACTGCTGTTAACGGATAGAAAAGCCAATGTTAATTATAAGCGCCTTCATTTGCAATTAGAGCTGTTTGCCAGTCATCAAATTAACCTCACTCCAGAACGTTCAAAGCACATCCTTCACCTCTCCCACATTTCCTTTCCACTCTGCTGTAAGGTCGGTTAAGTCTTTTTTAATTGACATTTTGCCTGCTTGTAAATTACACAGCGAAGAATAAATTCTCTATCTCTCCGCTGTTGTTTTTACAAAGTGTTACGATAATGTATTTCAGAACCAACCTGGCACATTCCCTCGGCGTTGAAAGTAACATCTGTGCTCAGAGAGAGTCCCAACGGCAGGCTGTCAAAGCAGGAGATTATGGGCCATGTTTCTCCCAATAAGCACGGACAGGTAAAGAAGTTACAATCTATTCCGTGTCTGTCTCAACATAGAAAGTGATTTTGTGTGTGTGTATGTGCGCGTGTGTGTGACAAGTTTTTTTTGCTAGTTAGCTGATAGCCTGGGGACACGCCACCTTATGTAGAGTTGCTGAAAATGTTATACGATTATCCGTGGCGACCTATTAAGTTGACTTAACAGCACTTCTATATGCAGAGCTGATTTTTTTTTAAGAAGAAAGCAAAAATAAATGACTTGAAAGTCGGTGTTGAGTAAAACTGCTCATGTTGCCAGCGTTTGACTATTAACATGCTCTCTGTACAACTTCAGCTCATCAAATTGAGTCTTAAATGTCATACATTATAAATCACTCTTGACACTAGCTTCCAGTTGAGGAACCGAGCGACTTAGCTAAAGCTTTCGGTAAGTCGAGGCTTTTACAGCACTGGAAAGAATGCAAAACATTTTAACCCTTTTTGAAGACTATAATATAGTATTTAAAAATACCTTGTAATGTATTGGTTGAGCACTCGCCTCGCAAGTGAGAGGATTCCGGGTTCGATTCCCAGCCGGGGCGAAATCTTAGGCAAGTTTCCTTACTCCACACGCCTGTTCATCTAGCAGTAATTTGATTGGCGGATCACTTTCCTGGGGTAATAACCCCTTCAAACAAATAAATAAATACAAATAATAATTTTGTCACTCAATCCACGACTGTTTGTGGGACGCTTCTGTGTGCAATTGGCTGCCAGGATTCGCCCACAAAATGTATAATCGATTCACTTTACAGTATATTCTGTGAAGCGCTTTGAGTCATCTCAATGACGCAATGAAGCACTATGTCAAATGTGAGGATTATTATTATCAATTATACCACGTTTTTCACATCAGGAGGACGTCCCCAAGTGTACTGACAATGCTGGGTGGGCAATCTGAGGGCCAGCAAAGATGACAAACCGTGTTCAATGACGCTCATTTTGAGATGACTTTGAAAGTGGGGAGAGAGGGAGGGAAGGAGAGAGTCAAAGAGACTCCAGGATGGAGATGCAGAGAGCAGGGCAGAACTGCTGAAAGCTCCTTATGGCTTTTAGCTCTCAAAATGCACACATCTGGCGCAAACAGGCTGGGCGTTGCAAATACAGAACAGAGCTTGACAAATGCGCCAAGGCAGAATATCGTGCTCAAGGAATCGATTCGATGCTCGCAGCTTTCACTTGGTTTCTAATGTGGAGCAAGGATCAGAGGGTTAAATGTTCCGAATCCAGCTCCCTCTTTGGTATTCAGTGGCGGCTTTGTCCCCAAAATAGGAGGCACGACCTGCGAAAGCAGATTGATAAATTACTTTTACTGACAGCCACACAGCACGAAATGTCAAGTGAGACACGAGGAAACCAAGCGAATGCATGTATGTGTGAGGCTCCGTGGACTAGCAGCAGCCTTCAAATAGGGGCAGATGGTTGTATTAAGTCGGGCGTCAGAATATTTCTGATGGTGGTTGATTCAGACTGGCTCAGTGGCAGCACGCTCTGAGTCGGAAAGTTGTGAGTTCAAGCCCCACGGCGGGACTTGGAATCACATCGTCTAAGTTGACAATCCCATGAGGCGATGGGGGTGTATTGCATTATCGGAGGTGACGTCCTTCAGGTGAGATGTTAAACTGAGGTCCCGTCTGCCTTTTCGGGTGGATTTTAAAGATTCCATGGCACTATTCAAAAGGAAAAGGGTATTTCTCCCAGTGGCCAACAATCCCCCAAATGCGATTGAACACTCGCTGCATGGCTGTCTATGGGATATTGCTGTTTGCAAACTGGCTGCTGCATTTCGCTCTCAATAATAGTCAAACCACATTACAGTATATCCTGTGAAGCGCTTTGAGATGGCTCAACGTGATAAGGCACTACGTCAAATACAAGGATTATTATTATCATCTTGGTTCCTGAATTGTACCAAACAGTAACTTACGCAATTGTGGCTTTGTGCCGCGCCCTGATCTGAGAGTGACACAGGGTTAAGACATCGGCATTTTACAACTGCATGTTTTTTGGTGTGTGTGTTGTTTTTTAAATCAAAAAAACGAAAGCACAGATCGCTGGTTGCAGCTCTGCCCCCTGAACCCAAGCCCCATTGTGCCAGGGAAACATGCAACTGCCATGTCATAACTGCCTGAGGATTTACTGGTTACAAGTCTCACAATTGCAATTAACACAGCAACGTTTCAAATATCACATTTCAGACCCCATAAAGCTGTAGTCGAAGCAGAAAGCATCAATGTCTATTAGGTATTTAAGAGAGAATTTAATGCGTGATGGTGAAGGAAATAGACCGGATTAGGACCGGTGGGGCCTTGTGTGGAGTATAAACACTGGCGCTACTTGGTACGAATGGCCTATTTCCGTTCTGTGTCACTGTAAACGATTTGTTACAGCGTCTAAGTTGAGACGTCTCAAAGCGCTTCACAGAACATACTGTGAAGTGGATTGACTGTATTTTATGGGCGAAACGAGGCAGCCAACTAATAATAATAATAATACTCCCAATGAATAGGTTGGGCTGAATCTTACCGTTCAGAAGTAAAGGTGTTTGTTTGTAATTGCGGCCTGAGTACCAGTTTGGGAATTTGGGGGTGTAGGTGTTGTACTATGGGTCTCAGCTTTGCCTCTCCCTCCTCTGACAGACGGAGGCTCAGTATTCGAGCCACTCCAGCAGCAACACCCTGTCCAGCAACGCCTCGAGCGCCCACAGCGACGAGAAGTGGTACGAGAGCGGGGAGCGGGCCGAGTCCGAGCTCAACGGCTACAACTACATCCAGGGCACGTCGGCGGACAGCGGCATCGACACCACCTCGTACGCTCCCAGCCACGGCACCGGGCTCTCCCTGGGGGCCGCCTCCTCCACCATCGGCTCCTCCAGGTCGTCCACGGGGCACAAGGAGAAGCCGGGGTCCCCCTGGCCGCCGGGCTCTGGGGACGGTGCGGCTCATGCCGGCGGCCACTCAACCGACCGTCCATCTTACAGCAGCGAGAGGAGGGGGGAGGCCTCACCCAGCGCGGAGAGAGAAGCCAAGGCGTACGGGGGAATGGTGCACGCGGCTTCGGTCCCAGCAGCCCGGGACAGCAGCACCTACAGCCTGAGTGACACCTCCTCCCACTCCAGGTAGGTCACCCACTCCCCAAGAGGAGACTCCCTTGCCCTCTTGTCTCGCCGCCCCGGCCACTCTTCCTCTGCGGCTGCTCTCAGGTGAGGCAGGTTCCTGCTCTCGGCGCTGGAGGTCAGACGTGCTTTCACAGAACGAAAGGTCTCATCGTCCTCAGCCTTGAGAATTTAAACTGATCCCAGCGGCCCACAGCCTTTGGGATTTTGTACAAATCTCCAGTAATGTTCGTTCCTCTCTTGTGTCCCGCAGCACACTCAGCTCGAGACGATCCATGAGCCCCCTCATCTTCACCCACAGCAGGACTTCACCCCACCAGGAGAGCTGGCCAGTCACCTCCCCACAGCCCCCTCCCCAGCCTTCCCCGGGCCCCGGCCACAGGACCTTCTACCCCAGACAGGGAGCGACCAGCAAGTACCTGATCGGTTGGAAAAAGCCCGAAGGGACCACCATCAACTCGGTTGGCTTTATGGACATGCGGAAGTACGAGTTATTTTTGTCTGATCTATTTTGTGGAGTAACTTAGCAGCTCTGCGGTTAAGGTGTTATCCGTGGTGAACCCAGTGCTCGCATGTGAAGCGCTTTGCGACATGATTGTGCAGTCCCGTGTCGTAGTGGTTAGTGCGCTCGCCTCGCAAAGCAAGAGGACCCGGATTTGATTCCCAGGTGGGATGAAACCTTATTGGCTGATCACTTTCCGAGGCTAATAATTCCCCCTGCCCCCCCACCCTTTCCCCCCAAAAAAATGTGGTCACTCAATCCACGACTGTTTGTGGGACTCTGCTGTGCGCAATTGGCTGCCACGTTTTGCCCACAAAACTTGCAGTCACTTCTCTTTACAATATTTTTCTGTGAAGCGCTTTGAGACTCTGTGATAAGGCGCTAAACCGAATGCAAGGATTATTATATAAGACGTCCATCTGTCAGCCGTCAGTTGGGTAGTGGCCCTTGGCTTGCTTTTGTCTTAAATTTGAGTCACTGCAGAGTGCTGCAGCTAGAGCAAGCAGAGATAATAATAATAATAATAATAATAATCATCCTTGCATTTGATATAGTGCCTTATCACGTCTTCGAGATGTCTCAAAGCGCTTCACAGGATACACTGCAAAGTGGATTGACTATTATGTGGGCAAACCGCTTAATGCATAAACAACAAGATTTCATTTCATTTATAGATAAAGCCGGGAGGGGGGGAGGTGGATGTGGAGGGGGAGTTCAAGTTATATTTTACTGGGACTCTGTAATCTCTGTACAGTAACTCAATTCACATGTGTCGGAAAAAGGCTCCCCTCTGCCGTACAGTTGCAATGTAACACATCTATAACTGGATAGCAGAGAACTGCAGTGGTGCCTGCTAACACTCACTGTCGAGGTGCAAATAAAACTGCTGGGCACAGAGTGAGGTGCAGTAGGGCGTTGAATTCCAAAGGTAAAGGAGTGAGATGCCTTTATTGAGTGCAAGGGAGAAAAGATTAGCCAGTTATTCCTTTTTTTTTACACAAAAAAAAGAGCCAGACTGATTTAGGCAAAATACATCTTGAGAGCAGCCTGAGGAGGAAATATAGTCTGAATTGTGAAATTGGACTGAAGCTCTTTTTTTACACAGCGCGTTGACGATTGATGGGAAGGTGTGCAGTGCCTAATGCACCAGCCTGCTCCAGTTACCCACTCCACTATCAGCAGTCGGGCTTTCAGTCTGTCTCGCTTCCCCCCCACCCCCACTCTCTCTCTCAATCTCCCACCCAGAGTCCCTCTGACTCGCTCCCTCCCTCTGTTCAAGCGTCTCCAGACCTACCGCTTCGATCAAGCTTTCGGTCATCTTTCCCCTGCCCATCCCACCCCACCCAGGCTCTCAACGCCAGGCTGTTGAGTGCCTTCGGGACATCCTCCTGACGAGAAAGGTGCTGTGTAAATGTTAATTTGTTGTTATAGTCATGCATCCACATTGTTTTCCCTCTGTAATTAATAGTTAAGTTTTGTTTCGCCCACAAAATGTACAGTCAATCCACTTTCAGTATTTTCTGTGAAGCGCTTTGAGCCCTCTCAACGACATGAGAAGATCAAATGCATGTATTATTATTAATGTCTACGTGTTAGGGTTTGGTACCAGACCCCCTCGTTCACCTGACACAGACTCTCTGGTGAGTGAGAAGCAGGAGCTATTGCTTGTGCCCAGGCATTGGCTAGTTATCTTGTTAAACTATTGGTGAATTTCCCTCTCTCGTCTCCAGTGGTTTATTTTCCCTCTCTCCTCTCTCTCTTTTCCGAAAGGACATTTACAACAACCTTTTACCTTTGGCAAAGCGTCAGGTAGTTCATTGCTTGCGTGTGGGTTTTGCAATTTTTAGCAAATTTATTGAGTTGTTCCAAACTTTTTTTTGCATTGAGCGGGTGTGGTTTTGGTGTGTTGAGAGACTCCAGCTGGTTTGATGCATGCGGTTTATTGATCTGAAGTAAAACTGGCCCAAAGGCCTCTCACGTGAAGGTACCTACTGTCTCAATGAGAGGTGTGGGGGCTGCAACCAGGTAACACACCCAACCTGTGCTTGTCCACCTCCATTCCCATCCATGCTCTCCTCTGTGAGTATTCTAAGAGTCGAGCAGCAAATGAACAAATGCTAACTAGTCTGTGCCGGCGTTCACACTCCACATTCTCCCTCCTCTGCCTTCCCTTCTTCCTCACAATGACCATTCGTTGAATAGATGAACTTTTAAGATGTACACTACGCTTGGGAGGGCCACTGTAATAGATGAGATTATTCTGAAACCTCATAAAAAAGAGGAACATTTGCTCCCAAAAAAAATCCGATCGCTCAAGCCACGAATATTTGTGGGACACTGCTCCACCACAAAATAAACAGTCAATTCACTTTACAATATATTCTGCGAAGCGTTTTGAGACATCTCAACGACGTGATAAGGCACCACATCAAATGCAAGGGTTTTTACTATCAATATGCACCCCAGTAACTTTGTGCATTTGTATGTGTGCATGTTGGCATAAGGTATGCAAATGTTTGTATTCCTCTCCAGGGCTTGAAGTATGTCGATCGTACATATGTATATCTAACAACAGCTTGTTCTTCCTCCTCCTCTGCCGTGCCAGGCGTCACCACAGTGATGTTGGTGAGATGCCGCAGACCAGGCTGCGTGCATCTGTGCGAGATTTACGCTCTCCGAAGAGATCGTCAAAATCAACGATCGAAGAAGAATTAAAAAAGCTGATTGACCTCGAGAGTCCCCCACCAGACTCTGACAAGGAACGAAAGGTACCAAGTTATTGCGTTATTCCAGTCTGCTTTCCCCACCTCGACTGAAGGCACCGATTATTATTGGGGTGAGGTTGCAGTGCATCTTCTGCTCCTTGCCATTCTTCCTGTATGAGCCCTAGAGGGCGAGTGTCAGGAGGCTGTTTGACTGTGTTGGGAGCTGTGTGTCCATTACAACCAAGTCTGATCATGTGCTCAATCTACATCGAATTCCGGGTGGGGCGAAACCTTAGGCAAGTTTCCTTACTCCACACGCCTAAGTTTACCTAACAGTAAGTAGGAACCCGGTTGTTAGTCAATTGGCAGATCTCTTTCTCTTTCCCTCCAAAAAAAATATGGTCACTCAATCCATGACTGTTTGTGAGAGAGTGCTGTGGGCAATTGGCTACTGTGTTTGAACCACAAAATACAAAGTCAATTCACTTTACAGTATATTCTGTGAAACGCTTTGAGACGTCTCAACGACATGATAAGGCGCTATATCAACTGCAAGGATTACTATTATCTGTCCACACTCCTGTGAAGTGAAGGTGTCACTAGATAGCACTTGAGAGCACCAGCCTTGTCTGAGGATTTATCCCTTTCTCGAGCCCGTGATTTGCATTTGTTTTAAAACAAAGTAATACATCTCTCTGAAACACTTCGCCTGTAACAGGATAGGGAGGCAAGTCTTGAATCCAATTAATTTGTATTTAACATGATCAACTCTGTTGCTAACTAGTCACCAATTGCCTGAAGTATTTTCAATGTATTATAAGGATTGTTGAGGCCAGGATCGTAGACTTGTTTCAGAAACCACTTGATGTGGGGAAGACAGTAGGGTGGGTGTTCTGGAAGGATGAGATCAAATGGACCAAATAGCCACCTTCCTTCACCTGAATGTCATTGGATGATTAATTAGTAACACAAAGTGAAGAGGGATAGTTCTTTTAGTTGGTTCACATTTATGCCTCCAGCTCCAACTATACCTCGTGCCAATTGATTGTTTTGTGGCATGTGGGTGGTCAGGCCTTCAGCCTCTCTGCCTCCATCCTTTGGACCTCCATCCAACAGTCCCTTCGCTTTACCCCATCCCTTGCTTCTTTCAAGGCCCGTCTAAAGCCCCCTCCTCTTTGACCACGCCTTCGGTCACCCACTACCCCCCCCACCCCCCTGCCCTCCATAGCTCCTGATCCCAAACCCCAGCTTGGGTCCAAATCCCTGACTCTCTAACGCCTTGGGACATCCTGCCAATGTAAAAGGTACTGTATAGATGTAACTTGTTATGGTGTGCTGTGTTCCGGCCACTGAATCTGTCCTCTTGTTTCTCTCCCCACAGCAGTCGATGCCGAGCACCCCGCCCTCCAGGAAGGCCCTGCACCGGACTCTGTCTGACGAGAGCATTTACAGTGGGCAGCGAGAGCCGTCCTTCTCTAACTCTCGCACCTCGCTGCTGGACCAAGCGCTGCCAAACGACGTCATCTTCTCCAGCACCTACCCCTCCCTGCACTGCACTCTGCCCAGCCGCAAGCCTGGCCAGTCCTTCAGGTCCCGGCACGGTAGGTAAAATTCCCAAGCCCCTTCCTCCATTTCTGAGGCTTTAATTTTGCCTTCGTTCCCCCCGTCCGGTTATCTCCCGTCCTGAAGCTGCTGCCCTCCCAACATAGGGACACAGGAACAGGAGGAGGCCATTCAGCCCTTTGAGCCTGGTTCACCATTCTATTAGATTACGGCTGATCTGTACCTCGACTCCATTCATCTGCCTTTGCACTATGTCCTTCGATGCACTTACCCAGCAAAAATCTATCCACCTCAAGCTATCCACTTGCAAATTTGAAACCCAGCGTGGAGGCTCCCCACCTCGGTAGCCCACAGTAACAGCAGTGAACGGGTGACAACAATCATATCCTGTCCACACCCAACTCCTTACATGTGCAATCTCCAGCGTGGCGCTGGGTGATCAGGAACAGGAAACGTGGTGGGTTTGCCCTGCCCAGAAGCACCAATAACAATTGTGGCATTCCATTACCACCAAAGCCAAGGTCGGCTAATGCGGCATAGACCAGGGATCTATCTGGTCTGCCTGGCTCATTGTCACACTGGGTCGGGACTTTGCCAGGGAAGCCAGTCCACTGTTTTATTTTGCAACTTTATTGGCAGCGACATGAGATTAGCTTGACATCGCGGTTAGTGTCTCTGACTACTATTTCACAATGAAAGGGCATTGGAGGGGGGAGATAAACTGTATTTCACAGTGCAGAGAGGGGATTTAACAGAGGGGATAAGGGACTGGTTTCAGTTTGCAATTCCACACTTGTTGATCAGCAGAAACGTAGCTTGTTATTGATCCGATCGACTACTGAGGAAATCTTTGCTGCTCTGGTGCAGAATAACGTGGCTGTAAAATAATCTACAGATACCACTGTAGTAAAAAAAACGTTTATGTTAACTGTTTGGATAATGTGTAGCTTCCTGAATAGTTTGTTCTTTGCTCCACTTCAGTTGAGCTCTCAGCCTCCGACGGCTCCCTGACTGATATCCATGAAAGGAGCAGTCAGTCAGAAGCACTGGCCGACCCTGGCTTAATGCCCTTGCCAGACACTGCCTCAGGCCTCGAGTGGTCGAACCTTGTGGATGCTGCCAAAGCTTTTGAAGGTAAGAGCGTGCGTGCCCGTGACTGATGAGAGCATTGTGCAGTGCTACTGGCCATTCTTCCCGAGTGTTGGCAGGCCGTCAATCACTGGGAGAAATCGAAATTGAACCCAGTCCTGTCCCCATACAATGTCCAGGTGCACCCATCTTCCAGCAGAGGTTACTGGACGGGGAGTGATCAAGTGAGAAAACCATGATAGCTTGATTCCCACGCCCCACAGACCTGATTAACGCAGGCTGGCGTATGATCTCTGTCATATGTTTACAAGTCCTGCTGTGGGTCTCGAATTAACCAAGCCAAACCGACACTCTGGAAACAGCAATAATAACAATAATAATTCTTGTGTTTCCACGTTACTGTAAGGTAGATTGATTGACTGTGTGTATTTGTGGGTGAACACACCCTTGACTTGCACTTTGCTTTGTGAATTTCCAGTCCAGCGCGCTTCCTTATTTGGTGGCGGTGATTGCGAGCGCAGGCCCGAGAGCTTAGCCATTGGCTGCCATCAGACAGAGGAGGAACCTTCGCCCCAAGCCACGCCGAGCAGAGGGTGAGTCCTCCCGCCTCACACCGGCTTCAGTTCTAACCCAGCACAGGAGCAGTATTGCGCGTATTGTATTGTATTGTACGCTGACACTCCAGTGCATTGCTGGGGGGAGTGCTGCATTTTCGGAGGTGCCGTCATTCAGTTAAACCGAGTTTCCCAGCTGCCTCTTCAGGTGGACGTTAAAGATCCCATTGCGCTATTCGAAAGAGAAGGGAGTTTTTCTCTCCCGGTGTCCTGTTAATTTGAAGATAAATGTGTTTTTCTTTCCCTCCCCACCCCCCACCATCACTTGCTATGGAAAGTAAGTTAATCTGAAACGTATCTTAAAATGCATGTTAATGGCAATGTAAGAGTTTTTAAAGGCAGGCATGGCTCAGGAGTTGGAACCGTCACTTTAACCTGAGGACAGGCAGGGGTCGGGTCGTTCATGGGAGAGGCGGGAAGAAAACAACTGAAATTTTTTTTGGCTTGAATGAATTCCAAGTTGTCTTAATGTTAATTGGACTCTCTCTCTCTCTCTCTCTCTCTCTCTCTACCTCTCTCTGATTCTGCCCGTCTGGCAGAGGTGAATCTCCAACTCATCTGTCTGAGAAAGTGAGCGAGCTGGAGATGATGTTGAAAGAGCTTCGGGATGATTTGCAGAGGGTAAGAGTCAAAGGTCACATGTACACTTCTTGGCGACATCGGGAGTCGAGTTTCTTGAATGTCCTTAAGGAACTCCAGTTAATTCCTGCCGACCTGTATGAATTCTGCTGTGGAAGTACAGGGTGTTTACATACAAAGCCCTTTTATCCTGTTAGCCCTATGTTTTTTTTCTACAATGAATCATGTGAAAGAATGATGATAAGTGTATTTAGAAGTGCTTAATTGTATTCAGTACGAGTGTTTACCTGTATTTAGACATCCAGAGGATCGGGGTGTGAGTGTGTGTGAGCGCCATCATTTTCATGGCAGATAATGATCTGTGCGATATCTTCTGTAACCTGGATGGAGTGAGGAGGACGTAACTGGTGGCAACACATTGTTACACTCACCTCATCTGCAATAGAAAATAAATCACAGTAAGAAACAAAAACACATGGGGTTAACAGGACTTTGTAAACCTTGGGGATTGAGCCGGTCGGTGTGATCTTCTGTTGGGGGGGGAAACTCGGTGCCATTTCCTCAACTGATAACTTAATGAAGAATCCATTAAGAAATACCACAGAATGATCCCCTGACCGCCGCCCAAGACGCCCTCACTAATCCACCCACTCTCGCCTCTTGGGTTAGAATGTTGTCGGTTCAAGACCACCCACGTTGGGACATGGAACTCGTACGGTTCGCTGACACTCTAGGGCAGTGCTGGGGAAGCCCTACGTTGTCAGAGGTACCGGCATTCGGATCAGACGTTAAACCAAGGTTCTGTCTACCTGTTCAGGCGGACATTAAAGACCTCACGGTGCTGTTCATCATGAGAAGTTTCTCCCGGCGTTCTGGTCACTATGCTGACATACTTGTTCCCTGCCACCAGGGGGGGATCCTATGCAGTGATCACTGACAGCCATCAATCAGTGTCTGCGTAAATCAAGGCAAGATTGGACGTAATATCACTCACCTCTATACATCTGCCTCCATCAAATTACAGGACTATTCACTGTCAGGTGCCACTCTCTAACGCAGTGTGAACATGACTGGGTATCGCTCTCTATTTATGCCTCGTTGATCAGTTTACTGTACTAAGCACTCGCAGCCAGAGCCCACACTGATCCGTGTGGTTCTTGTGTTTCAGGAGAAGGAAGATAAAGTCGGTCTGCAGGCTGAGATGCAACACTTGCGGGAAGATAACCTGCGATTGCAGGAGGAGTCTCAGACAGCGTCAGCACAGCTCAAGAAATTCACTGAATGGGTCTTCAACACAATTGACATGAAGTGATTTTGCAGAGAGAGATGGAGGGAAGGTGGGAAACTCGGGGCTAAGCAGTCCGACACGTTCTCCCTTCACGTGGAATTTCACCTCCGAGATCCTAAGACCCCGACACGCTCACTCACTTTCATCACAAACTGAATGATTGTTCTGAATACACACCACGTACAGCTTTGCCTTATGCTAGCATCTGAAATTGTTAATGTGAAAGTCAGGTTTTGCACTGTATATATTTTGTACATATATATATATAGATATATTTGTTTGTAAAGCTCATTTTGCTATTTCAAAACCACTTTGTGGCTTTTAATTTTCTCCCCCATTTTTCTTGTTGCCCTGATTTTTTTTAACAGTAAAATGCCTCTAATCTAGAGACGCGAGTCCTTAAGTCGATTTGCAAGCCCTAATGGGAAAAATGGGATTTTATTTTAAAAGTTTGGATTCTTCCCGTGAAAGCGATAACAATTTAGATGTGATTTCCATTTGATTGATTTAAATCAGTAGGAATCCTTTGGGCTTTTTGATATGAAAATGTTTTTGTTAATTAAAAATGCAGAGATCTCTTTTCTTGTTTAGAAAGTTTAACACGGCGTCTAGGACATGTTGTCTGCGGTCCCAAAGATTATTTCCCAAAGAGCATCTGCGGGGGAAAGAGGGGGAGAGAGAGAGGTTGTGCATTTTCTCTATACTATACGGAAGCACCTTTTGTAAAACCACTTCACGGGAATGTGTTCTGAACACACAAGTCAAAGCACTTTGCACGTCCCCTGCTGAACAGACACAGCGAATGACCAAAACAAAGGCTTTAGAAAGCTGAGCAGAGTGTCGAGCCTTGTTTTTGTTACTTAAGAGACACCCTTCGTTTTTTTTTCATTTCTAACTTTTTAGGGAAGGTGCTCTAGCGAGTTTTGCGGGGGAGTGTGATGCTCAATTGACCCGGTTCAGTTCGCAGTCTCAGCCCAGCAAGAAGGCAGGTAGGAAATGCCCAACAGGGAGTATTTGATTCACCGACTAGTGATACATTGGTGGCATTGAGCACAGAAGGTTCACGTTTCTAACCCCATACGCCAAATGTGCACATTTTTCAGCTGTAACTGCTCATGGTTCAAGTCTCCCAGAAATCAGATTTTCCTTCTCAACCTCTTTCTTCCAGTAACGTTTCTTCTCTCCCCCCCCCACCCTCCCGCCCTGAAAGAGTTGAAACATTTCGTAAATAAATGGAACTGAACTTTTTCAGGATATTTTGTAAGAGTTCTGGTAAATTTTGAAGTTCTGGATTTTTTTTAAGTTTAATAAGGCTGTATGAAGGAGATGTATTATACCTTGTAGTGTATTGTTAATATGAATGGTTATTACAGCAGGCATTGAATCAGTTTTGAAAAGGAATTTGCTTATTCGATGGGGGAGGTAAAGCAGTTGGAACAGAAGCCTATTTATTGTACTTAAGATTTCCAGTTTATCCATGTGTTGTATTTAATCAGCAAAGGTACATTCTAAACATCTCACAATAAATCTCGTCTCAATGTTTGCAGTTTCATTCTTCTAAGTCCTTTCATTCAAACCTATCTCACATTTCTTCTGTCTGTCTATTTTTGGGTTCATATGTTGCTTTGTCACTCGATACTTCTGTGAGGTACAGTAAAACTGGCACAAGTCTGATCTGTATAAATCATACATTCACCTGAATTGTACATGTGCCCAAGTCCCGTTGAATTTCCTATATTTATAAGCTTGACATAACTCATTACTTTGCAAGAGACATGCAAATATATGGTCTGAACTGATCTGACTTATTTGAGGTTTACTGTACACTCGCCTACCAAGTCAGTCTGTGCTGGTGTTATTTCTCTGGGCCACTTAATCTAATACTATTCTTCCACTTGCTCGCGCATATTATATATATATATATTATCACTTAACATTCCTATTTGAATCTGTCTGAACCGATTTCCGTATTTCATTTGTCGTCAGCCTCTCTCAAGTGCAATCCTCCTCCAGGGCAAGGATTGCGGGTTCAATCTCCACATCAAGATTTTGAACTAATTTGGAGTCTCTGCTGACACTCTTAATCATTGTGTTTTGGGTGGGGTGGGGGGTTGCGCTGCATTGTTGGAGATGCCATTCTTCATTAAACTGGTGGGGGCGGTGCTCCTTGGCTACATCCCGTGCGATTTGTGTTCATGGGAAATCCGCACTGAAGAAAGCTCCAAGGAAGTGGTGAAGGCAGGGAATGTTCCAATGAGTAGAGCAGCTCAGAGATATTTGAGGAATTTGCCCGTCGCAATCGTTTCGTGCAAAGTTCATGGTCTCTTCGATTTAAGCCCCCATTTCTATCCCCTCCCCTCGAAGAGACGAAGGTACAGAGCAGAAATAGACAGTCACCTACCCTTCCACACACACACTTTGGGTTGTATAACAAAGGTCATGAGTAGGAGGTCAAATAAATTTCCTGTTATCCACAGGAGGCAATAAATCACACAAGAGGATAACTGTTCTCGTTGAAAGGCAGCCAACAGTCTGTTGCAACCGAGTGAATAAGCCTTTGTCACTATCTTATATTCACCGAAGACAAAATTGTGTTCACTCACTGGATAAAGAATTGGCTCTGTAACTCTCATGCTGAATATTGACAGTGGTGGGGTGGGGGAGGATTGACGGCTGGGACACTGAGTTGAGGGGGGGAGGGTGGGGGATCGAATACTTTTTCTCAAGGAAGGGAACATTCGCCCCCACCCCGATATGACCTATTTGGACTTTGTCCACTTCACCAAGTCTTAATGATGAACCAGTCAGGCTGGTCAATCATCAACAATGCATTAGATTTCTGAGAAGCTCCTGGCTTCACTACGCACATCTCTGAGCCAGTTCAGCCTCACTTAACCTCCTCCCAAAGGTTTAAAGGTTAAACTTAAACCAAACTTAAAGATTAAGGGAAAAGTGGACCCACCACAACAATAACTACTCCTAACTCAACTGCCTGAGAAGATCTTTATCTTTGGTTCTCCCACAAACCCACACAGTGACGCCACTTTACAATGTGAAGCACTTTGAGACGTCTTCGACGACGTCATAAGGCACTTAACGAATTCAAGGATTATTACTGCAAGGAACTCGCTTTCCCAGGGGGAATGTCACCTGTTTTTTTTTCGTTTCGCTCCCTCACAACAAACACACGTGCACAAATGAACTAAAACGTTTGACTAACTCCTCGGGTGGAGTGGCTGTGTACGTGTAGAGCAATGCTGAATATCAAAACTGTAGAGGCGAGGATAGCTCATCAGGAGTTTGCTCTTAAAAATAAAGATTTGCTACCTTCACAGCTCAGCACGTTTATCAAATGAGTAATAGAGTGGGAAAGCCCTGGGCGAGCTCGATCTCTCTGGTCTGTGCTGAGTTAGCCGGTCTGACTCAGTGTTAAACATGCTGAGCAGCGAGGATAAATAATGCAGAGGTAAGCGAGTTATGTAACGTGCAGTTCATCCCACTCCTGTTCACCAGCTCCACACAATTAAACCTCAAGCAAGACCATGAGCTGAGGAGAAGTTTCCACCCGCACAGAGGTAACTATAGGACTTCGAACAGACTTCAATTAATGAAGGAGCAAGAGCTGAGCGAGCAGCGAGTCAAGTCAAAAGCGGGTCATCAGATAAGTACAAGAAGGAAGACCAAAAGTTCCATGTAATGCAGTGGTTTCTGAGCCTCTGAGACCAGGCAAAAGACCTGTCGAGGATCAATAAGTGAACAGGTGCCACAAGGCTGAGATGTTCAACCAAGATCCCTTATTTCTCCCGCACCCTGACCAACAATCCTACCAGATAAAAATGTGGTCACTCACTGCACAGTAGTTTGTGAGACCACGCTGTGAGAACATTTTAAAAAAAACACAAACAAAAAACGTTGCGCCTTTCACAATGAGAGGACACCTCAAAGCACTTCACAGGATTTAACTGTAAAGTGCAGTGACCGTGTGTTTTGTAGACAAAACGCCTACAACCGACTGTTGAGGTTGCCTACGGTCACTACACCTTGGCCACAATTAGCTGTGAAGCGCTTTGAGATGTTGTGATGTGTTTGTCGAGTTTGTGTCGAACTGCAAAGATTATCAAATCAGTTTGTTTCCTACACAAAAATGTTCAACTGCAAAAGAGGCACAGCGTCCTTCAGTGGACATTGTGCCTCATTGCAACTAACACGAAGGTTCAGGAAGCTCCTCTTTCCCAAGGTAATAAGGACATGGAGAGTTTTCTAGGCGAAAGAAGACCAAGTCCGATGAGTTCACCTTCCACTATCCTGGTATTCGCTTGCCATGTTGTGTCCCAAACTACGTACCGTCTCCCCAGATATTATTTTCCAGCAGAAATCTGTCTAATTTGTTCTTGAAACAAAACACTTTCTGCTTCCACCGTCTCACTAATTCCCACTGAAAGATTGAACTTGAACAGACTGCTGCCGAGAACATGTCAACATGGACATCAAAGGCTAGTAAGCTGCAAATCATGGCCGGGAGGTGCAATAATACTCCTCCGAAACTCCTGTCTGTCTCAGTTGAAGTAGCCCAAACTTAAAATTGAAATTTTTTTTTAGTGTTTTTTTGGGGGAACAAAAGGATTGTATTGGAGTGTCAGCCTAGACTGAGTTCAAAGTCCCAATGTGGGGTTTGAACCCACAACCTTCTGATTCAGAGGCAAGAGGGTTACCACAAGAGCCAGGCTGGCACCAAGCCAACACAGCTCAAAGCCTATGCCGACACTCCAGGGCAGTAATATTAATAATAGTAATAGTAATAGTCCTTGCAGGTGATGTAGTGCCTTATCATGTCATTGAGATGCCTCAAAGCGCTTCACAGAATATATAGTAACGTGAATTGACTTGTGTATTTTGTGGGTGAAATGTGGCAGCCAATTGCGCACAGCAGTATCCCAAACACCGTGTCAGCGTTCTCCAATGGATGCTGACAATGTTTGTAACCAATTTTTTTTTGAGGGATTATTATCCCAATCAAACAATCTGATCCACCGATAATAACAACTGGGTTCCTACTTACTGGGTAAACACAGACTTGTAGAGTTAAGGAAAATTGCCTGATGTTTTGCCCTGCCCGTCCGGGAATCAAACTTGGGTCCTCACACTCGCGAGGCGTGTCCTGTAAACTGATGCATTGTTGTAAATACTGTCCTATGGGTAAGATGTTAAAACCTAGAGCCTATTTCAAAGAAGAGCAACCAGTGTCCTAAGTACTATTTCCTCCCTTGTCCAAACTCCCCCCAAATAGATTAATGTCTCAGTTATCTCTATTGCGCGTAAGATGTCCTGGTGCAGTTTAGCTGCTGTGCTTGTTTACAACAACAACAGAATTACATTTGTATAGCACCTTTCACGTCAGGAGAATGTCCCAAGGTGCCGGCAGTCAGTGTTTCAGGCCCCAATTGGGGTTCGGGATTGGGGAGGAGGGAGGGAGGCAGGGTGATCGAAAGCACGGTCAAAGAGGAGGGCCTTAAGATGGGTCTTGAAGGAGGCAAGCGAGGGAGCGAGAGGGAGGAACTGCGGGAGGAATTCCACAGGGTGGGGATAAAGTGGCAGTAGACCCGGCCGCCAATGGTGGGGCGGGCGAGACGGGGGACGTGAAGCAAGCCGAGCCCGCTGAGCGGAGAGCGCAGGCAGGATGGTAGGGTTTAGGAGGTCGCAGAGGTAGGGGGGAGCAAAACCATGGAGGACTTTGAAGGTGAGGACCAGGATTGAACTGTATCCTCTGTCGGATGGGAAGCCAGTGGAGTCGGGCGAGGATAGGGGTGATAGGGTCACGGAGCCTGGTGCAGGAGAGGACACGGGCTGCAGTGTTCTGGATGATCTGCAGCCTATGGAGGGAGGAGTTGGGGAGGCCGACAAGCAAGGAGTTTGCATAGTCAAGCTTGAATGTTATGAATGCGTCTGCCGTGGAGGGCGCTATATAAATCCAAATTGTTGTTGTTGAAGTTGTTGTTGTATGAGGGTTTCAGCAGCCTGCGATGTGAGACAGTGGAGGAGCCGGGCGATGTTGCAGAGGTGGGAGAAGGCAGAGCTGGTAAGGGCATGGATGTGGGGTAAAAAGAATAGTTGACGGTTAAACAAGACTACAAAGTTCCGGATTGGCTTAGTAAGGTGGAGTGTGAATCCATGGATGGTGATGCTGTCAGTGCTTGAGGTGTGGAGGCGCTGACAGGAACCAATCAGGAGAGTCTTCATCTTGTCGACGTTCAACTGAAGAAAGTTAGCTCTCATCCAGGACTTGATGTCTGGCAGACCTTCTATCAGGACAGCAGTGATCCTGGAGTCAAGGGTGAAGGCAGAGAAATAGAGTTGGAAGTTGACCCCATGCCTGCGGATGATGTCACCAAGAGGGAACATGTAGATATTGAAGAGGAGCGGACCAAGGACAGAGCCTTGAGGAATTCCACACAAGATGGTGTGGGGGCTAGAGGAGAAACTGTTTGTCAAGATGAAGTGGAGACGGTGTGAGAGGTATGATCTGAACCAGTCAAGGTTGAGGT